GTGCATTTCTCTGTTTGATTTTTTTTTTTTTCACTGCTGAGAGGAGAAAATATGTAAAGTTTCTTTCAGGGACCTACAGCTCAAGGTTATCGTTACTTTAATGAATGTGGGCAGCCTGACAGTGCTCCATTATGAGCCATGGTTAGTTAAACTTCAGAGTACACTGTGTGACCGTTTCCATCACAAGAGGCTGCAGTGAAGTTAATTATAGTTAACCGCTTCTCTTAATGTGCACATACCACTGGATGTGTCACTTTTGATCTGAACGTTTTTTGAAAGTGTACATGAACGGGTGGTGGGGGGGGGGGGGGGTGATGTCATCTCTCCTTCTCATGAATTGGGTGAGTTCTAAATTTATACCACTGCCTCCCATGTCATGTGCTGGTGAGTTACTGCCAACTAGATGTGAGGTGAATGGGGTGAAAGCACAGGAGGAGACATCACCTCCTAAAGTTTTCTCCCTTTCATTTTAGGATATACTCAGATGCTGGCTTTTGTACTGTCTTAGTGCTCCTACATCTTTCTGCTGCATTTGATACAGTGGATCATAATATTCTACTGAGCTGACTAAATTATTGGTTAGGTGTTAGAGACATTGCTCTGAGGTGGTTCAAATCTTATCTTCATGACAGAACTTTTTGGGTAATTTCTGGCAATAATTCCTCCAGTTCAGCTTCTCACCTGTGGTGTCCCACAAGGGTCTATTCTTGGGCCACTATTATTTTCTATGTACAGTATATGCTAAATTATTCATAAATTCAATGTTTCTTTTCATTTTTATGCAGACGATTCCCAGATTTATTTGGCTATTAACCCATCAGACCTCTCCACACTCAATAAACTTACCCTCTGTCTTACAGACATCAAAACCTGGATGTCTGATAATTTTCTTTCACTCAACAATGATAAAACTGAGGTGAAGGTGTTTGTACCCAAGGCCAATTTAGTATTTAAGTCCCTTTCTGTTCTTGGTTTTAACTGCACTCGTGAAGCCAGAAATTTGGGGGTAACCTTTGATTCTAATCTTAGTTTTTCTAAACATTTTAAGAACATCACTAAAACAGCATTTTTTCAAATGAGGAATATTTCCAAAATCAGAGCATTTATCTCTTTAACTGATGCAGAAACTCTTATTCATGCCTTTGTCTCCTGTCATCTTGATTATTGTAACTCTTTATTTTCTGCTCCAAAGTTCTCTTAATCGTCTTCAATGAGTACAAATCACTGCAGCTAGAGTTCTCACAAGATCCCATAAATATCAGCACATCACTCCAGTTCTGTCCTCATTGCATTGGCTCCCTGTGGCTTTTAGAACTGATTTTAAAATTTTATTGTCTGTTTTGAAATCCCTGAATGGTCTTGCGCCATCATGTCTATCTGAGCTTCTTACCCCCTACATCCCTTCTTGCACTCTCAGATCCTTAAATCTGTTCTTACTTTCCACTCCCAGAGCTCGACAGGTGACAGGAGGGAGGGCTTTTATGGTCAGGGCTCCTAATTTGTGGAATGCTCTTCCTTTAAATATTAGACTGGCCTCTTCATTGTCTTCTTTTAAATCATTAGTTAAAACTTACTTGTTTATTAATAAGGCTTTTAATATCTGAATTTATTTATTTCTCTTTCTTATGTTATCTATTTTAATTGATTTGGTATACTTTTGTGTTTCTTATGTCATTTATAATGTTGTTTTAATTGATTAATGTGAAGCACTTTGTAACATTTGTTTGAAAGGTGCTATACAAATAAACTATTATCATTATTATTATTTTCTATATATTCTGTTCAGGGTCACAAGGAGGTTGGAGCTTATCTCAGAAACCCTGGTCAGATCCCCAGACCATCACACGACCAGTGCAGAGACACTCAAGGAAATAACCCTGCAGGTTTAATAATTCTACAAGAAAGTGGCACCATGACTGATTACTTTTAGAGGCCATCAGTGAGCTAGTAGATATTTTATTTAATATTTGACCTCATTTTTATCAGCAAAACTTGGGAATTAAAAAAACTCGTTGGTTTCCTAACACAAACTACCGTAGACATTAATTGTATTTATTCATTCTCCCATCAGGTTTGATGTGTGGGTCATTGCAACATCGAGTTTAAGGTGTTCACTTTCTGATTTCAAGGACAAATTTTTTATAATTAACTTTGTGTAAACTGTTTCCTCCTGGCAGAGTGGAGAAAGATGCTGCTGCCACCAGGGTTCAACATAGCCTGAGTCAAAGTGACCAAACCTTTGTTTTCTCATCGAAACCAAACCTTCCTTCTTGAGGGTTTTATTTCCAGTTCACATGATCTGCTTCAAACTTTAGTCAGACTTGAAACTATGAGCTTCCTTCTTGGAAACACAAACAATAAACATCAGCAGCTTCTCAAAGACAGCAGAAGATTGCTCATGAATTTTTATACTTTACTCTAAACTCGTTTATTTTTATTTTATGTCTTCTTCCAAACTTCAACATGGTAGTCACATCTACCAATAGCATATGCTTTGGTTAAAATAAAAAAAAAAGAAAATGAATCGATAATCCTAAAAATATGCACTTGTTTAAAGTATGTACTGTAAATGTAGACATTTCTTCCTCCACTCCAGAAATTCCTTAAAGTTTCCTCATTAAGTTAAGCAAACCCATTTTTATGTTGATTCAGAGATTATTTACAGCGGCAGTAAAGATTTATCAATAATTAGCGTTCTTAAAATGTCCTTCAACATTCAATTCAGTTCAGTTTATATAGCACCAAGTCACAACAGAAGTCGTCTCAGGGCACTGAACAGAAACATTCATATATAAAAATAATAATTTAACATTATTTATCTGAGGAGCAGACTGTTTGAATTTAACTTCATCGCAGAACTCTCATCTTGAGCAAGCATGAAGGCGACAGCGGAAAGGAAAAACTCCTTCATGAAGAAAAAACTTTTAGCAGAACCAGGCAAAGGACAAGCTCCATCTGCTTCGACCAGTTGGGTTTGAGAGGAACAGGAAGGAGGAACAGATACACAATGGCAGGTCAAGAATCACATGTTAAGATAGAAATAGAAATAATATCAAATGAAAACTATTCAATTGTAACAATTCATTTAAGGAAATGAAGTCAATTTGTCCTCCAGTAGTCTAAGCCTATAGCAGCATAACAAGCCAACCCTAACTATAGGATTTATTAAAAAGGAAAGTCTTAATCCCAGTCTTAAAACTGGATCATGTGTCAGCCTCACGGACAGAAACTGGAAGTTGGTTCCACAAGAGAGGAGCCTGATAACTGAAAGATCTTCCTCCCATTCTGGTTTTGGAAACTCTAGGAACCACAAGTAAACCTGCAGTCTGAGAGCAAAATGCTCTATTAGGAAAATATGGAACAAGAAGATCTGTAATATAAGATGGAGCTAGGTTGTTGGGGGCTTTGTAGGTTAGAAGTAAGATTTTGAAGTCAATTCTGGACTTGACAGGGAGCCAGTGAAGAGAAGCTAAAACTGGTGAGATATGATCTCTCCTACTAACTCCAGTTAAGACTCTGGCAGCAGCATTTTGGATTAACTGAATAATAATTAAGAAGTATTTGGACACCCAGATAATAAACCATTGCAATAGTCCAGTCTAGATGTAACAAATTCATGAACCAGTTTTTCTGCATCAATTTTAGATGTTTCTAATTTTAATGATATTATGCAGGTGTTTTTTTTTTTTTTTTGCAAGAAACCAACCTAATGCCTTCGTTTTTATAGAAGTGCTAGTTTAATTTTATTAAATTCAACTAGAAAGTCTCCTTAACTGATTACATGGCTTCATTTTTCTCTAAATAATTTGAACTTACACCAATTCTTAAAATCAACTGCGCTTTTTCAAAGAGTGAAGCCAAAATCTTTTTAGGAAAAATAAAGAAATCTGTGGATGTCAGATACAAGTTTGATTATTAAAAAATAAATAAACAAACTTCTGCTGACTGTTGTCGAAGGTGTATTATAATAACGTGCAAAATCGGGTGATGCAGTTCTGCTTTAGATCCACGTGGTCCCGAGGATAACGACTGAAGATTAAATGAAGATTGTTGAGATCTGAGTCATTCCTTGTGGATTACAGTGGAGATGTTTTAAAGCATCTGGAAATCTATGAATCTTACAAGCTGAAGCTTGAAACTGGATCAGAGCAGCACAAATGTGATCTAGATTCCCCGAAGCACCTTTTCTCTTCGGTCGCAAAACTTGAAAACACTGAATACAACCTCTGTTTTTTGTGTTCAGAGCCCTTGAGCACATTTGACCACCACCACTACGACTTCTAGATCCTTGAACAGAGATGACAGGAGGTGTTTTGTTAGCTTTACTGATAAAACCAGCTTTAATGAAGTTCACAGGTAACATTCAGGACAATGAGCTGCCTCTCTGGAGGTCTGACACCCCCAGAAAAACATGCATATAGAGACAATAAATGATGTGAAACCTTAGGATGTCACTGCACGTCAAGGATCCTGTTGCACTACATTACACTTCCTGTTTCCTTTGTGTGTGTGGTTCATCTGTACCACCTACAGTCTGCCTCGTGGAAACCTGATCACTCAGTTGTGTGTACGTTTCAAAAGGGGCCGCCATGTGCTGCCTATAACTTACACACATCTGATAATGTAGCGTCCTCTGACTATGAGGGAGTCCGAGGGCACTTTAGGACAAGTGGAGATGGTCACATGACCTTGTTTTGTTTGTTTTACATGAATTGCATTTTGAGTTTCCATCAGAAATGTTTCACTTTATTTGCTTGACTAAGGAAGTAAACTTTACCAGATTAAGGTTTTATATAATTAGTTACTTATTCAGGAATAATAATGAATAGAAACGTGTCCGTCTGTTTGCTGCAGTGTGTGTGACTGTAGGCATGCGTCTGGTGTTGTTGCTGTCTCAGCTGCGCTTGTGCAATTTCTCTTTTTTGTGCTTCTTCTTCTTCTTTTTGTCCTGTCTTTCTGCGCTGCTGCTCTTACGTCTCCGCTTGGGTTTGCATTCACCGCTGCTGCCGTCGCTCTCCGACTCCTTTCTTTCCCTCCTTTTCTTCTTCTTCTTCATTTTCTTCTCCTGGAGCGTAAACGTACAAGAACGATCACTGATCTGTGACGCAACAGAAGAAACTTGACCAAAGAGGCTGTAGAGGCGGCTCACGGCAGTTTCGCTAACACCAAACTCAGATTGTCGTATCAGCAAAGAAATCTGAGATTTTTTCAAATATTCTCATGTAGCTGCAGCTACAGACATGTTTGGTCACATGAGCTGCTAGACTATTAAGCTGTGAACGCACAAAAGGTAGTGAGAGCCAAACAGATTGTTAATGCTGACGTTTTCACCTTCTTTTTCTTCTTTTTGTCTGCATCCTGCTGCTGTGCTGCTCTGGAGGTCTCTTGTTGCTGCTGCGGCTCTTCATCATCCTCTTCAGGCACCAGAGCGTACTGTGAGCCTGGAGCGGAGTAGCAGTCCTTTGTAAAGTGACCTGAAATTGGAGTAATGAGTTAATAAAACCTGCTGCATGAACTGCAGGTGAATTCTAGGAAATTAAACTGCAGAAATCCACTTGTTCTTTCAGGATTTGAGACATGATGCACCTTTGCAGCCGCACTTCGAACATGTTGTGTTGAGAACAGCTTCCAGTGTAATTCTGTTGCTGCCTTGATCTCTAAAATTCCTTCTTCTCCTTGCATCCTGCCTGCAAACACACACACATAAATAACACATTTCTGCAAACACACACACATAAATAACACATTTCTGCAAACACACACACATAAATAACACATTTCTGCAAACACACACACATAAATAACACATTTCTGCAAACACACACACAGATAAATAACACATTTCTGCAAACACACACACACACACACATTGAAAACACTTACTCTGCCTGAACATTGTTAGGGTCCAAGTCCCGCCCTGTCCCTTGATTGACAGCTTTCATTGAGAATGACAGTTTCACCTTGTCTCCCTGAATCTGACGGACGGAGAGCAGAACTGTGTTTTTCTGTGCTGACAACAGATTTAAAAGCCACGCTGCATCGCGTGTGCCACGTTTTTACGTTCTTACATCTCGTCCGATCACTTTGATCCACACTTGTTCCCCGACGTCAACGATCTCTGAGGCACTTTCAACCCTGGTGGCGGACATCTCGCTCACGTGAACCAAACCTGCGTATGGAAAGGTTACAGGGGTCCATGTGAATTACACACAAAAAGGCTGAGCAAAAAAAAAAAAAAAGAACATGGCAGCCTTTTGATAGGCTAAAACATCTTTGTTTTGCTGAGAATAAAGATGTCAACATTCAAGCATTCTCTTATTTATTATAAATCTTTAAAACAAGCACAACCAGATTAAATATAATATTTTTAAATGTATGCTCCCTCTTTTTTTTATCCACTCTGTCCTTAACACCCACTTCAAAAATTAACTCATCTTTGCCCTCTAGTGGAGAAAAATATTGCAAACGTGCTAAAGCCACAGTATAACTAAAACTTAATCAAAAAAGTAACTTAGAAAAACAGATTTCCAGGACTTAGTATTACAAATAGAGAATAAACCGTCTTCTACGTGCATTAAGCTCAGATGGAAGAAAGAGGCTAGTAAAGGATTATCTGAAGAAGACTGGTTAAATATTTGTAAAACCATGATAACAACGTCCAGCTCTGATTTATGGAGGGAGTTTACCTGGAAAAATACCATGAGGTTTTTTATTACCCCCCAGAGAAAAGGAACTATAAACTAAAAATGTTGAACATGGTAAATGTAGGCAACTTCGATATCTTTTGGGAGTATCCTAAGATTTCCCCTTACTGGACAGATGTGGTTAAAACTGTTCAACAAATTAATGGGCTACCGCTGGAGGAGAGCTTCAGTGCATATTAACATACCAACTGGACTGAAGATACAAGACAGATACTTGTTACAAATATTACAGGCGGCAAATATAAAAGAAAAAAACAAGAAAATGGTTCAATGAGGAACCGCCAACTGTCTCAGAATGGATGGACATAACACACGGACTTTATGTTCTGGAGCGACTAACCTTTTCCTTAAAATTCCTTGGAAAAATATGAACAATATGAAGAACAATGGAAATGTTTTCTTGATTTAAAACAAAGCACACTAGATTTGTAAAGTATTTATTTATCTCTAACCAGAAAACATGTGAAACATTTTACTTTATTTTGCTTTGTTGGCCCTTTTGTTGTTGTTTTTTTTGTGTTATTGCTGTCAGCTGTTCACAAAAAAAAAAGAAAAATGTTCCATAAAAACAAAGTTAAAAAAGGGTAACTTACAGAATAAAATAAAATAATATTTTACAAAATATGTTTGACACCCTTTATGCTTCCATGAATTTTACCACAAAATATTTTGACACTGACTAAAATGGTCACGATATGGTTAATAAAATGTAAACATATTTGTTCGTACTGTGTATTTCTTTGCTTACAGCTTCTAATTTATTTTAATTTGACAGATTTTATCTCATTTTGATTCATTTCACTGGGCTTGTGTTCAGGACCTTTATTTTTTCTCTTTATAAAAAAATTAAAAATACAAGCTCTCTTAACCTTTTACTAACCTTCCTTCCTGTACCCGGGCAGCCGGACAAAGGCTCCGTAGGTTTGCACAGAAACAACTTCTCCCTTGGCAATGCTGTACAGCGGTGGCAGACCGTCCAGTCCAGCTGGTTCTCGACTTGACCCTTCGCGACCGGACATCTTCTCAACAAGTGTTTATCAGAATACCTGGTAGATGGACGATTAAACATGTTTTATTTTTGCAGTATCATTAAAACACAATATAAGAACTGTGAAAAAGTGACAGAAAGCCTAAAAATACAAAAACATTTTCAGGATAAATTTGACTGAAAAACAAGCCGGAAGCTGTTGTCTAACCTCATTTCAGGTATTTGCACATATAAAAGGCTATCGCAGCCTCCAAGTTATATCACATTATAAGAAGGTAAATAATATCAGTCAGTGTGTAACAGGAATAATATATGGAGTTCAATCAGTTTTAACATTTATGAATGGTTAGTCATTATTCAGATAAAAAGGACGTGTTTTGCATCATTATGTTTTATTATGTGATTGCACTTTTACACTTTAAGGCTATTTTAACATTTACTAATGTTTTCTCTGTTTGCTGAAAACCAGCAGGATTTGTAAAGTCCTGATAAGAATAAAATTACTTACACTTTTATTATTGCTATAGCACATAATTTATTATATACTGGAAGAAACACAATCTGACATTGGAAATGCAGATTTAAAGAAATTATGTTGCCTTTATCTACAAAATAGGAGGAGTTTATGCTGATAAATTTAGTATTTTATTAGAAAGTAACTGTATACTAGCATTGACTAGTCTGGTTTTACAGAAAAAAGCATACATCCATTACTTTTCTGTAAGACTCGTAGTGTATGTGCGTGTGGAATACAAAACAATAACTGAACCATTGAATCACGCTACACATCGGTTGAAACATAAGGAGGAACTATGCTATAGGTTTTAACAAAATCTTGTGTCGTTTTGCTATTTAAAAAAAAATCGTGCTAACTTGAACCAAACGGATAGACTTCTTAGCTCTAAATCTGAAAAACATTTTATTACCTTCTTTCGTAGCATCTGAGCTTGGGTTGTTTTACATCCGGTGCAAGAAGCGCAGACAAAAAAATCAGCCAATCACAGCAGCCGGTTCACGTTTCAACCAATCAGAAGCCTCGAAACATGCGGAAATGCTTCCGCTTGTCTTCTTCGTCGGTGGTGCTTCCTTAGACGTTTCTTGTCGTAGCTGTTCATTCATTTTTGGAGCTGTAGCTTTGTTTTTACTCGTTTTTGCCGCTTTTTGCTCACTGCTCCCACGATGATTGAACCGATGAAAAGACCCGGAGACATGGCGGTGGTTCCTTCCGCCATGAAGCGGCCCCGGATGGAGCTGGTGTCGGCGGCCCAGTCTCAGCAACTCGTGGCTTCGGTTCGTTCTCTCAGTGCAACATTTGAGATATTTTTATTTATTCATTGTAAACATGCCTTTTCTTTGTTACTTTAAATGACAGGAATAATGGATATGTGATGCTTGTTTAAAAACTAATTCTGCTTTTCAGACAGCCTTTTGATTGAGTTTTTGAGCTTGTTTTGATTAAGAGAAATAATTGAGAGACATAAAACTATACAAATCTAAAACTGGGATTTTAGAATGACTGCTTATTTTATAATGACTGGTCAGGCAAAAATAATACTCAAAGTAGGATTAAAACAAGGATATTCATGTGCATGTAAACAGACTTTTCCAAGCTTTACTACACCCTTAAGTACATCTATTGAGATATTTTAAAATCTTTTATTTCCCATAGGTTAAGTCCCACAAACACTGAAGAAGTTCTGATTATAGCATATAATGTATGCATATTTTAATAAATCTCACAAGTCAGAATTGCATCTTTTTATTCCCTGCATAAAAGTTGGTTAGAAGCAATGCTGATCAGTGAGGGCGAAAATGACTGACCGTGAGAGAAACCAACACTTCCTGAGAAAACTCTGTGTGAATGCTTATTATTGAAGGGTTTTTGCTGAAACCTGCTGAAGAAGTTCAAATCAAGCTGAAAAGCTTTCATCATTAAACTGTTAATGCAAAAAAAAATACAAGTTGAAAGTAGAAAAATGGCAGACGTGTAGAAAAGGCTAAATAGAGCTGAAATGTAGCAGAATAAGCTGAAATAGGAAGAGAGAGGCTGAATAGATCGCAAAAATCTCAAATTGGCACAAAAACTGACCGAATGAGTCGACTTTACAAAATATAGTAGAAGAAAAATGCTGAAATCAGCACAAAAGTAACTGAAAAAGCTAATTTAACAAAGCTAAAATTAGCATAAAGAGGCTGAAAGGAGCTTAAAAAGTTGAAAATGTTAGAAAGAAGCACAAAAGGTGGGAATTAGTGACAAAGATCAGCAGAAACCTATCTAAAAAGTAGTTGGGGAAAAAAGCTGAAATGAGCAGTAAAAGGTTTTAAACAGCACAATGGGTTTGAAGGATGAGACGAGAGCTCCAAGAAAATCATGGCAGGACAGACTAAATGTGTTAAAAAGAAAAAATAAATGCTTGAATACCAGAAGACATAGCAGGAATGTGTTGAATGAGTTGAACGTTTTGATATATGAATTGTTGAAATAGGACAATTAATGGAAGCAAAATGTTACATCAGAGTTTTAACCAGTGATAACTAACAAGATTAAAAAAAATGCTACTAAAGAAAACGTAGTGGCTGTTATGCCTTTTGAATTATGTGCAGACTTTGCCTTTTTGATGTCAAAATAAAAACGAGGCGGACTCACTCTGCTGGTCCCACAGGGCCCTCCACGGACCTCCAGCTTGCAAGCTCCCATCATGTTGATGTCCGGCCACGAGGGTGAGGTCTACTGCTGCAAGTTTCACCCCAACGGAGCCACGTTGGCCTCTTCGGGATTTGACAGGCTCATATGTAAGCTGTTGTCACGGTTTCTCTCCTGCAACCGTTTGACAAACGCATTGTGTCGCTGTGAGAGACTTCACCGTGTTTCCTCGCTGCAGTGTTGTGGAACGTGTACGGAGACTGTGAGAACTTCGCCACTCTGAAGGGTCACAGCGGAGCCGTGATGGAGCTGCATTACAACACAGACGGCAGGTCTGCACGGGTGCAACAACATCCAATCAGTTCACCTCTGATGGGGAAGAATACGTTAGCCATCAAACATTCATTGTGAATTTAGGAGTGTGATAAGTTGTTTTGTCTTTGTTCCAGCTTGTTGTTCTCAGCCAGCACAGACAAAACTGTCGGTGTGTGGGACAGTGAAACAGGTGAGAGGGTCAAACGCCTGAAGGGCCACACCTCCTTTGTCAACACCTGCTACCCAGCTCGCCGAGGGCCCCAACTGGTCTGCACAGGCAGTGATGATGGGACCATCAAGGTGAAATGTTTTTTAAAAAAACATCCTCTTGTCGATCTCTTGATGCATGCTCAATAATCCAGGTAGAAAAATCTAAAAAGTTAAGTCTGGTCCTCTGGACATTCAAACAACAAAAAAAGTAGAAACGTTTCGTCTTTCATCCGAAAGACTTCTTCATTCTGAGGTGCTGTATTCAGCTCAGTCTTATAAATAGCACCTTCTCGTAGTGGATCAACCAGTTTGCTGCTGACAACTAAAACCAGCTGCTCTTGTCGAGTTGTTTTAATCTGAATATTTCTGCTCATTATCGAGGTTTAGCCCACAGTGGTCATGTAGTCGTAGATGTAGACACAAGTTTAGTTGTGTCAATGTTTATGAAGCATTCACACTATCGTGATCCATTTTTCTTCTGTACGTGTTTCTGCATCATATTCCACAATTTTCGTGCTATTTCAACAAATCATACATCAAAACGTTCAGCTCGTCCAGAAGGGTGCTATGACTTTTGGTATTGGTGCAACTTCAGCTTTTTGAAATATTTAGCCTTTTTTGCTATTTTTTTCCTCACAGAAAATGAATTGAGCTCATTTTACATTCTTCAAATCTATAGATGTTTTTCTGATTTGATCTGATTTTGTTCTGCTTCAGCTTCTTTCAGCTTCATTCTGCAAATTTAAACATTTTTCAGCTGTTTTTTCAGTTGTTTTGTGCTCCTTTAAGATCGTTCTGCTAATTACATTTTTGCGCTTCTTCTAACTTCTTTCTACTAATTTCAGCTCGTAATGATAATTTTCAGTTTATTCTTCAAGTTTCAGCTCTTTCTGCTATTTCAGCTACTATTGGGCTGTTTTAATGCTAATTTTATCTTTCTCAGCTAATGCCACATGTTTTGCACTCATTTAAACTTTTTTTAGCCTAATTTAGAAAATATGTGCTCTCCACTTCCTTCTGCTAACTTAAGCTTCTTTCTGCCTTTTTAGCTACTTTTCAGCTGATTTTTTTATATATATTTCTACGTTTTTCAGATAATTTCCACTTTTTTGTGCTCATTTCAGCTTCTTTCAGCATAATTGGGCATACATGTTTTCTTGCTCCTTTCATGCTAATTTAAGCTTGTTTTACCTCTTCAGTTTACCTTCTTAGCTTTTTTAGCGAATTTCAGCTGTTTTCAGATAAATTCTAGTTTTTCATGCTTCTTCCTGCTAATTTCAGCTTATTGTTTTCCTTTCAGCATTTTTCTGCTAGTTTCAGCTTTTTCTGCTCTTTCAGCTTCTATTTAGCTCTTTTATGCTAATATTAGCTTTTTCAACTAATTCCACATTTTTTTTAGCTCATTTCAGCTCTTTACACTTCCTTCTGGTAGGTTAAGCTACATTTTTCCTTTTCAGCAACTTTTCAGCTATTTTTTTAAGCTAGTTTCCTATGTTTTTACTAATTTCTGCTTTTTTAAACCGAATTCAGCAAATGTGTGTTCTTTCTGCTTTCTTCTAATGTTAATTTAGGGTTTTCCATTACAGCTACATTTCAAAATGTATTTTTTTTATATATAATTTCAGCTGTTTTTCAGCAAGTTCTTCTGCAATAAGCATTCATGAAGGAAATGCAATTTCTCTGGTTTTAAATTATATTTGTTTGCACCTCAGCTGTGGGACATTCGCAAGAAAGCGGCCGTCCACACGTTCCAGAACACCTACCAGGTTCTGGCCGTGACGTTTAACGACACCAGCGATCAGATTCTGTCGGGAGGCATCGACAATGACATCAAGGTGCTGAAGTCCTGCATGAACACGAAGCCAAGAGTTTCTAAGATAAATAGAAAATAATTTAGAAAAATCCTGTAATCATTTTTAATGAACTGCCAACAGGTAACATAATAAGTGTACACTAGATAAATTATCCAAGATCACCAAAATATTGATAGTAAATGTTATGATGGGTCCACATGTGCTGAATGTCACAATAAAAGTAGGATTTCTTCTGATGTTGCTTGATCAGGCTCTTTTTACGACGACATTGATCAAATGTATTGATGTGAAAGCGGCTCCATGCCCACCGTCTGTGCTGTAACCTCTCTGGGTGTTTGTGTTAAAGCCAGTCTGAAACTTCTCATCGTCTTCAGGTGTGGGATCTGCGGCAGAACAAGCTGATCTACAACATGCACGGCCACGGTGACTCTGTAACCGGACTCAGCCTGAGCTCCGAGGGGTCCTACCTTCTGTCCAACTCCATGGACAACACAGGTAGTTTTGGCTGTTTCGTGTCTCGTAACGTTGAAAGATGGGCGGTCGACTCATTTTCTTTCTGCGTCCTCGCAGTGCGAATTTGGGACGTGCGACCATTTGCACCCAAGGAGAGATGCGTGAAGATTTTCCAAGGCAATGTTCACAACTTTGAGAAGGTAATATGATTTACTAGCATTAAAACAAGTGCTTCTCCTCTAATTACTGGTGGAGGTTCTCAGTCATCCAGGTTATGATCAAGCCATAAAAAGGGTTCAAAACAAACAACAAAAAAAAACGGACTTTTCTTCTGAAGCTGAAGAGGTTTTGCTTCTTTCTTTGTTTTTTACTCCTTTGAATTGATAAAATTTCCTGGATGGGAAGCAAAACATCTTCAGCTTCAGAATAAAAGTCCAGTTGTTCTTGTTTATTAACCTTTTTTAGGATTCTCTTCTGCTTCCAGACAAATGGGCTTGTTATATCTAAGATCATATGAACAGTATTAAAAGTATTTTAACTTGTAGCTGTGACAACTTTTTATCTTATCGAGAGCTCTTCTTGCTGATGACGTCCAAAACATCTTTTCCCGCTTGTTCAGAACTTGCTCAGGTGCTCCTGGTCCACTGATGGCAGTAAAGTAGCTGCAGGCTCAGCTGACAGGTGAGAAACGAGCAGACAAACGCATAACATAAACATTTGTTCTCACTCTTTACATCTTTCGGTACTTTGTCCTAACCGGATGACTAAATTACAACTTCTTCGTAGGCCTGTCATGATAACAAATTTTGCTGGGTGATTAATTGTCTCAGAAATTATTGCGATAAACGATAATATTGTTTGAAATTTTACAATAATTAGTAATTATTGTCAAATTTAAGAAGAAATGTTTAATTTGTTTTGTGTTTAGTATCATTTTTCGACCACCAGACGGCAGTATAAGACTGTTTGAACCGAAGGATGGATAGTGAGGGAGCAAGCAGTGTGTCTCTTTAAGAAAAATGGGAGGGAGGCCCCTTGACGTGACATGGGCTGTCTCTCTTCGGTTCTCAAAATGGCAGACGCTCGGTGTGGTTTGAGCTCTTTAGCATAGCATTTTTCCACACAAAGCTTTTAACAAAATATCAGTGAACAAGTTCTCAGCTTCTTTTTGCAGAGAAAACCAAGTTTTTACACGAAGGCACGGGTTTCAACTGTGAATTTTGGAACTTCGACAAGATGGAGGTTTTTTCCCCGAGGTCGGCCTGTAAGCTTAGCTCGTAGCTTAGTTGCTTTTAACGATCCAAAAATGCGATTGTGGATGGTTAAAACAGATTTTAAAGAGAAAGGGAGAAAAGGGTCAGTGAAGAGCACCGGAGTTGAACTTTTGTCATCCAGTGTCTTCAGTAGAAAGAGAGAGACGCGAAGAAACGATAAAGCAGATAAATTAAAATGAGGTCAATAATTTTCATTTAGCATGCGATTAATTGATTTATTATCTCGACAGGCCTACTTCTTCTAACATTAATATAGTTTGCCAATTATTAATCTTTTTACTACGACCTGTTTGTTGCCTCATGGATTTAAACATGGAGAATGAGATGCTTTAAAAGTGAATTTCAAAGTAAAAGTTTGTTTCCTGTCTAAAAGCTTAAAGTCATTAGATTCAAAAATTGTATTTGGAGTTAAAATACTATGTATGCAGAGGCCTTTTTTTCCATGAGGTACTTTTTCTGATTTGGTAAAAAGGGAGGAAAAAAGTTGTTTTTATATATGTAACATTTAATCTGTCCTCACTTGAAACATGTGACACGTGTCATCTGGAGAATGTCTGTGATTTTTGTTAGCATGTGATGGTAATTAATTTAGCTTGTTATCACAAAGTGAGCTGAACTTTTACCAGAAGCTGCTTTGGCTCAAATCTTTGAATGATTTAGCTCTGTATGAGTAATATCTCTTCATGGTTGGTTTATTTTAAGCTTTACAATGAGAAGATCTGTAAGGATCCAAGTTGATGTCAGGAAAATTTTAAACAACAACCGCCAAAGACAAAGATAAAACAAGCACATTTTTTGGATAAATGAGGTTACGACACACAAAAAAGACAGCTATGAAAGTCTTCTAACAGAGGGCTCACGTGGTAAACTTATACTAAGACTTTTTAGACTTTTTTGCAGATATTGGACCTAAATCTTTACTCTGGAGGCTGAAAAGGACAGCTAGTCTGCAGGTCTCAGAGCACAAATGTTTTTATTGATAAATGAAAAATTCACAGTGAGTCAGAGTTTAAAACGAGGGGAAGTTGTGGATTTTTTTCAGTTCTTGGAAGAAATTAAACTGGCGCACCTAAAACTGAGAGTTGCCATCTTTTGAGGTGGGGTTCTGTTGAAAGGTTGTGAACAGTTAATATCTTACCTGTGGTAGATAAATCTTTGAGCAAAGTCTCTTTGGAGAAATAGTTTAATTTCGACCAGACTGACGAGCTATTGGCTAGATAGAGCGAGGCCAGGGCAAAGGTGGATTACTGAAGTTCTTAAACGACTCCTATCTTTAAAAATAATCGTAGTTCATTCAAACACTTTTATAAATCTTGACATTTTTTGTTTTTCTAATTGTTTAAAACCGTTCCACAGAATGTTAATATCAAAGGTTAAGCATCCTAATAAAGTACAGCTACAACAGTCAAGTTGTTTGGAGACAACTGACTAAATGGTGGTAAATGTAACTAAATTGCATTTCCTGTGGAAATGCAGTGTGATTGCTTATTGCAGAGGAACTTGCTGAAAAACAGCTGAAGTTGGTATATATCAGGTCTCAGGTCTCTCTTGTAAATGAGTCCTCGAGGCTCAATGGGATTTACCTGTATAAATAAAGGTTGATTGATATATATAAAAAAACATACTGAAATGAAAGAACAAGCCTAAATTAGCAGAAGCAGAAAGAACACAATTTTGCTGAATTTGGTTTAAATAAGCAAAAATGAGCACAAAAATGAGCAAATCAGCCAAAAAAGAGAGAGAAACTTAGAAAAATAATCTAAAAAGTAGCCAAAAAGGCAGAAAGAAACTTAACCTACGAGAAGGAAGTGGAAAGAGCTGAAATTAGCAACAAAAAAAGTGGAATTGGCTGGAAAAAAAACAAAATGTGCATAAAATGGCTAAATAGTAGCTGAAATAGCAAAAAAAAAAAAAAAGCTGAAACTGGCTGAAAAAAGCTGGAAAAAACAAAACAAGCTGAAATTAGCAGAAAGAAGTTAATTAGGCTGAAAGCAGCAAAAATTATCAAGAAAAATTATCTGAAAACAGCTGAAATTCGCAAAAAAATTCTAAAAAGGTAGCTGAAAAGGTAGAACACGCTTAAATTAGCATAAGCAGAAAGAACACGTTTGGCAGAAAGGAGCACAAAAAAGAAGAAATTTTCTGGAAAAAAAGCTGAAATTAGCACAAAAAAAAAAACAGCTGAAACGTACTGGTAGCTAAAAAGGCAGAAAGAAGCTGAAAATGCAAGAAGGAATTAGAAAGAGTACATTTTTGTAGAATTAGGCTCAAAAAAAGTGGAATTAGTTGAAAAAAATTAAATTAGCATAAACAGCTATATAGCAGCTGAAATAGTAGAAAAGGCTGAAACTTTCAGAAATAAGTTGAAAGGAGCATAACAAGCTGAAATTAGCAGAAAGAAGTTAGAAGAAACACAAAAATGTTGTAGATAGCTGAAAGAATCTGAAAGGAGCACAAAACAGCTGAAATTAGCTGAAAGTAGCAGAAAAAATGTTTAAATTTGCACGAGGAAGCTGAAAGAAGCTGAACCAGAACAAAATGTGTAAGGAGCAGTGAAAGGTTGTAAACAGATCTAAAGATTTGAAGGATGTAAAATGAGCTCCATTCATTTTCTACAAGAGAAAAAAAGTCAGAAAAGGCTAAATATTTCAAAAAGCTAAAGTTGCACCAATACCTAAACTCATAGCAGGATTGTCCTGAAAGAGCTGAACATTTTGACATATGATTTGTTTAAATAGCACAAAAATTGTAGAACGAGAAAGATGCTGAAAAACGTTGTGAAGAAAAATGGATCACAACCGTGTGAATGCTTCATAAACGTTCAGTCATAACATAACGTTTGTGTTCTGAGTGTCTTCTCTGACGTGAATGAGATAAATCCATCAGTCGTCACGTTTCTTTCTCTGCTTTGTGTCACAGCGTTGTTACTGCTAACCGTTCTGTTGGTGTCTGACAGATTCGTGTACATCTGGGACACCACGTCGCGTCGAATCCTGTACAAGCTGCCGGGTCACGCCGGATCTGTTAACGAGGTGGCCTTCCACCCAGAGGAGCCTGTAGGTGAGCGTCGGATTAGCTTTCAGTCGTGCGTTCACAAAGATCTACAAAGCTCCAAGGAATAATCTGGATGACTACGGAGGCTTTATGTGCTAGAAGTCTGTTTGTGTCAGTTGGTGTTAAAACTTATTAACTACTTTTGTTTTGTCTCTTCACAGTGCTTTCTGGCTCCAGCGATAAACGTCTGTATATGGGAGAAATTCAATAAGATGTGTGTGTACATTTGACTGTAAGTGTGTGTGTGTGTGTCCTGCTTTGGAAGCGTTTGATGGCTCGTCTCACAACCTCAGGATGATGTTTGTTTAAATTGGTTACAACAACCTTTTTTTACTCTGATTTCTTTCTTTTTAATAAACTTCAGTATTCTGTGTAAACAGCCCGTCGTGTTGTTTTGTCTCCGTGATGACTGACGTTACGTTTTATTGTTTTAAACTGGATAGGGTTTCTCTGACTTCACTGCATCTTTGAACAGCTGTTAAAATAGATTTATAAATGGGACGTATTTTATTTTATTTATTATTTATCCTAAATGACAATAAAATTTAAGTTTAGAGCAGTAGTAAATCCTATTTTCAGAGGCGGGTCATATTCTGAACCCGTTATCAAGTTGTTTTTTTCCAGAGGATTTTATTTAAACGCTGTAAACAGTTTTTATTTGTTTCCTTGCACATTTTGTTCCTGAAAATGATCCTGCAGCTTGGCCTTAATGAGTGCAGTTTTCTAATAAACCTTTTTGCAATTCTTAGGAGAACATGTGGTTAACACGTCTCACAATGCTCAGCTGTTTAACTTTATGTTGTTTAAAAGTTTATTTTTCCCTGTTGCATAAATTCAGTTTATTACTCAACACTGAAAGGATCCTGAACAATATACTAGAGTGGACACAAAATTTAACCAAATTTAAGTTCTTTAACTTTTGCTTTTAGGAAGTCAACCTTTCATTTATTCATTTTAAGCGGTCCTGATCAATGATCCTTCAGATGTTTCTGAACGTCTTTAAGGATCTTGCTTTGGACTTGGTTGTGTTTTAACCAGTTTCTCGGTTCTTGTAAGAGCTCAGTATGTGCTTGAAAATAAACAAGAGTCAGGCCAGCACATAAGCAGTATCTATAAAATATGAAAAAATAAGGCAAAAATCTAAAACAGGAGCTCCATCTTTTAGCTTCTGCTGCAGTGATTTCTAACCCTTTACACTGAACAGACTAATAAAGAAGTAAACAGATTGTTGTTTTCAGGTAGTTTCTCTGGAAATCCCTAGAAATCTGGAGCAAATTGTATTTTTGTGACAGGCTGCTGGTGACAGATGTGATTTTAAATGGTTGTCAAGTAAAAAAAATAACACTGGCTCGTCCTATGAACCTTTTTAAAATCTGAATGATGAACATTTAAGAGTTTAAGTGGATTTTAACAAACGTAAAAATATATATATTTAAAAAGAAACGACTTGATGTTGAAACCCTGGGAAAAAAATAACCAAAAAAGTCTTGCTTAAAACAAAACAAAAAAAACTATAAAGACTTGAGTCTTGTTCACAGTTCTGTAAATAAATTAATTTAATTCGTTAACAGGATGTTTGTTTTGACGCGACCTGGGCTCGAACCCGCAACCTCAGCATTACTAGACCGCGGACTCCATCTTTTATTGTTCCCCGGCGGCGATTAGCTAAATGAGTGTTCGCTGACCTAACGTCACTTTATTGAGCTGGAGGTCTCTAACAGAAACTAAACGATGCCTTTGAATGAGCCTCCCCCCTGAACGGCCGCAGGCTCCTCACTCCCACACCGTAAAAACCATCATTTTCGCCGCTCTTTCCGTGCTAGCTCCCCCCGTTCCTTTCGAGCTTCAGACGCCTCTGATGTTCGCTCGCGCGCAGTCTCGCACGCGGATCTGCAGAATCCACGCAGCTCCTCCTCGAGGGGGGGTCGCGGTTACTGTGAGCTCCCACCCCCCTCTCGGCCCCGACTGTTGACAAAAGACGCTGGGAGACGGAGCGGAGGAGGCCACGCAGAGAGGGAGACACCGGTACTGGTGAGCGGCTCCGTCGGTTAACGGGTTTTGTTTGTCTCCGCTGAGCCGCGCGAGGAGAGCGCGATCCGGACGACGGTTGAGGGGCTCGCGCGAGCCGCTTTGTGTCCGCGGCGGGCTTGTAGCCAGGCGTTAGCCGTGGTGCCGCTGCGGGGTTCGCTATCTGTGATCCGGTATCATGTGATGCTCGTCTGTGTCTGTAGCCCGGGGCACACTGTGACAGCTTTCCGTCTCTTTGTGCCTTTGTGTGTCCCCCTGTTCTTCGGAAGGTGTGGCCGAGGTGATTCGGAGTTCGCAGCAGGCCGGTGTGAAGCGGACCCAGTCCTCCTCTTCCTCCTCTTCCTCGCCGCGACTGGAATTTAGTAACAACAATAAAAAACAGGAGGCCAGCATGGGTCAGCCGCTGTGAGGGAGAGCGCCGGAGCAGCGCTGCTGGAGGAGGCGGCCCTGAGCAGTGTTCACCCGGGAATGGTGTGAGCTGACACGGGCAGGCAGTCTGGATCTGACCGGGGACTCGTCGTTTCCCCGGAGCCTCCGCGGCTCCAAGCCGCGACCTGAGCCCTCCAAAATGGGGAAGTGCGACGGGAGGTGCACGCTGCTGGTGATCTGTGCACTGCAGTTGGTAAGTGTGTGCGTGCGAGAAGATATAATTAGATCAGCATGCTTCAGACATGCACATTGTAATCAGACATTTTTCCAGCCTGTCTTTGAGCTGCAGCTGTTTGGGGGGGGGGGGGGGGGTCATGCCACATTACAGGAGGTGGTAGAGGATTTGGATACAAGGTGGTGCTACACATTCAGTCAGAAGCTAGAGGTTATTAAACAAGCTTCCCTCCATCTAAAGTTCAGACTGAGCTTTCCCTCCCAGTGTCCTCAAATAGCTCCGGCCTGTTCTTTAAAACCCATAAATAATAAAAATAAATGAATGTGTAATGAGAGTGATTCTGTTTTGATGCAGCAACGTGCGCTGCAGCTGTTGGGCCTATTGTTTCCAGGGATGATGAGTTCTTGTGCAGCGGAGGGATTTGGCCTGTAGATTCTCATTAGTTTTGGGGGAGCTTTTTTTAGTGGGTGGGGGTGAATGAGAGGGGGTGCTCCTCTTTTTACACTCACTGGACTGGCTGGCGGCTCCAGTCAGTTGCCATGGAAACAGCTGCGGCAGCCCCTATGTCTGTGTTTCCTGTCACTATGTGTGTGCAACACCTTGAATAAGTGTGAGTCCCCTCCTTTACGTTTCTTTTTTCTTTTCTTTTGTTTGTTTGTGCGTGTGTCTTCTCCAGGTGGCAGCCCTCCAGAGGCAAGTGTTTGATTTCCTGGGCTACCAGTGGGCTCCCATTCTGGCCAACTTCCTGCACATCATGGCCGTCATCCTGGGCATGTTTGGCACTGTGCAGTTTCGATTCAGATACCTCATTTTTGTGAGTGTTGCCTATCCATCCCCCGCTCCCACCTGTAGTCACAGCTCTGGTTAGTAAGGTGTTCAAAAACAGACGATAATGTACAGTGTGGCTGTCTGTTAGCAAAATATCTAATGAGCCAATGGGCAAGTTTTGATGGAAATCCCATAATGTAATCATTGGATGTAGATCTACAGCTGATTTAACTTATTGAGTAAATCCAATTCAAGATGGCTGCATCCGCTAATCAGTTTAATCCAGCTCAATATTGGCTCTAACTCAGTGAGTTTAACAGATGTTGGGCTAAAGTTTGGTGTGGTAGTAGCTGAGAGTCATTCACAATTTATAGTCTATGACACGTTATTTTCAAGGTTTGACTAAAGCAGCTACAACTTTGTCACTTTGTATCATCAGATGGTCTTAGTCTACAACTGGTATAGAATGCAGCGGGTGGTGTACATTCCTTTAAGAAACACTTTGGCTGTTTTTAAACGTTTCTGTTTTTGACAGTATGCAGTGTGGCTGGTCCTGTGGGTGGGATGGAACTCCTTCATCATTTGTTTCTACCTGGAAGTTGGAAACTTGTCTCAGGTAAGTCGTGGTGTTTATTTAAAGATAAGGTTGACTGACGGCGCAGCCCTGATAATCATCCTCATGGTGTGTGTTCAGAAAAGAGACTTTCTCATGACTTTTAACACGTCCCTCCATCGCTCCTGGTGGATGGAGCACGGTCCTGGTTGCCTGGTAACGCCGGTGCTAGACTCTCAGATAGCCCCCGATGACCACCATGTCATCAGCGTGTCCGGGTGCCTCCTTGACTACCAGTACATCGAGGTGCTGAGTTCGGCCATTCAGATCCTTCTGGCCGTACGTACTAAGCCCTCCGATCTTTCTGTAATGTGTGTCACGCAGCTTTTGCTTGACTTTTGACCGTCTTTTCTCCGACAGCTCTTCGGCTTTGTGTACGCCTGCTACGTAAGCAAAGTCTTCCAGGACGACGAGGACAGCTGTGAGTGCTTTTGTCTTCTAAAAGCTCGCTGATGGTCTTCCAGCTCTTTGTCAGTTCATTTTGCTTGTCTGGCAGTTGACGAAGCGTTTAGTGCTAAAGAAACGCAGCTTTGTGTTTGAGAGTTGTTGTCTTGTTTTTCTTCTTCGTGAGTCACGCTCGGAGATGTATCAGGGCAGAGGATCCCCCTCTGGGTGATGTGAGCTCTCCATCTTTGAGGAGCATTATGTGTGCTGCTGAAATATTCCCACCATGACGGCGTCCGTCCATCTGTCTGTCAGCCGTGCCATCTGTGCCTCTCAGTGGTGTTTTATTCTCACTCTGTGAACGATACGAAGGACTTTAAGACGTTATACGTCTGATTTTCTTAGAGTTCAAGGTTTGGCTGTGATGTCTTTAATAATTTACTGTTTTATTAGTGGTGGACCTTCATAACAGCAGTATTGATATTGCTAAACTTATGGATGCACAATATTGGATTTTTGGCCGATATCCAATACCAATATTTTTTTTTCCCAAGACTACATAGCTTTATCTGCTGTGGAATTAAAATACTACATTATTCTGCATGATATTTGGCAATTTGGCCTGCTACCAAATGCAGATGCCAAAAAGGCATCTGGAAATGATGCAACACTTCAACTTGGATTATGTTTAATGTCAAATGTATTCATGACATTTACTCTTTAACACAATGTCAACACTCGAACAGTGCAAATTTGTAAATGTTCACAAATCTAAACTCACCCTGTTCACAAGCGACAAGTGAAAAGTGCATAAGTAGTAGTGCATTAATACTTGATAGTTTCTTAAATTAAAAATTAACTTAAAACAGAAGCCTTTTATATCGGTCATTTTGATGGAATGTCCGATATTTAACTTTATCGCTAATATCGTCCGATACCGATACCACCCCGATAATATCGTGCATCCGTAGCTAAACTAAAACAAATGACCTAACATTAATTACGTTGTGCATTTTACACATCATCCCATAATTTCTGGAGAAGAAAATGGGGAAACATCAAATATAAAATAATATGAGTGACTTTTTTTGTTTTGTTTCCTAGTAATAAAATGCCTAAGCACTAATGGTTCATTTCTAATAGCCTTTTTACTAATGTAGGTCTGCAAACAAATACAGCTGCAATAAATAATTAATGTTTACTTAGATTTTCTTGTAAAATAAAAAAAAAACTAATGTCTTGAAAATGACAAGCTTTCACAAGAAAACTGGTAAAAAATAAGAGATGTTGCACCAAGAAAAACACTTATCTCCAGTGATGTAAAATATTTGCTTAATCGAAGGACATGTTTTTTTTTTAAGTTTCTAATAAAGGTGGAAGTGATATTTAGGCTACAACTGTCAAATGATAAAGATCATTCTTGCACTTTTTAACATCACAGTAGGTTTCTAATGTTTTTAAAGGTACATCAAATTCAATAGATGATGCATGACATGTTAAACTAGAATCTGATCTCGCTTACAAAAAAAGTTCAAATTAAATAAAATGATGTCTTTTTTTTTTTTCTTTCAAAGTTGATTTCATCGGTGGGTTCGACTCGTACGGCTACCAGCCGCCTCAGAAGTCCTCTCATCTGCAGCTACAGCCTCTTTACACGTGAGTCACAAAAATAAACATTTCTTCTACTTCAGTCTTTTTTAATTTTTGACCGAATGCTGAGTTTGTCATTTTAAATGCTCTTTCCATTTTTATAAAGACTGTGGATCCTTAAGGATCAAATTCATGTGTATATTGAGTTTCTTACGCTGTTTCCACCCCGAGTACCTGGAACGTTCGGTCCCAGTTACTTTTCATCTTTTTTAGTGGATGATTTTGAGGTTGAGCATCTCATTTCCTTCTTATCCTCAGAACTGTTGAGTTGAAAATTGGTTGATTCATGGTTAATAATACATAATTATATATTCACATTTTGCATTATCACATTAAGAGGTAGAGACATCCTAAATATTTTAGGAATGAAGGGTGAGGGTGATAAACTGAACCATTTGGCCCTACAAATAAGTAGAGGTTTGTTTGGGGGAAACACTTAAAGAAAACAGGTTACTAACATTAGTAAAGCAACCCACAGTTGAACTGAATAGATACATTTTATCCTAAAAAGAACAGTTCTAACATTTAGTATGAATAGTACATTAAATTTGGTGCTGAGGTCAATCTTTCTTAACAAACATTTATAAATTGCTTTGTATCCCAGTGTTTGTAGCAAAAGTAGGTAATCTAACAAAGTTAACTCAGGTTCTCTGGACGGATTCTCATTGTTGAAATGTTTCGTCTTTTATCCAAAAGACTTCTTCAGTTTGAGGAGCTGCAACAAACTCAGTCTTATTAACAGCACCTTCTCATAGTGGATCAACCTGTTTGTCGTTGACATCCAGAACTAGGTGTTCACGTGATAAAGGAGGACCATGAGCCTAACAATTGGTTGTTAGTGCCCTGATGGCTGTTTGCTATTCACAGAGGGCTGAGTGATAATAGCAATAAGAGGGGGACAGTTGAACCCGGAGGCCTCCACCCCTGTTTAATGATGGACGGTTTCTTTTCACAAAGATGGCCTCCTTTACTCCTCTTTCAAACCATCGTTCCTCGATATCAAGGATGTGAACATCTTCATCCCTGAAAGAGTGACCGCTGGCCTGGAGATGAGTGTAGACCGCAGAGTCCTGGCCTGATGATGTTGTTCTTCTGTGCTGGGCCATCCTTTTGGCCAGTGGCTGTTTAGTTTCCCCGATGTAAGACTGATCACAACCCTGAGATCATAGGGCTTTTATTCATAAAAGTTAAGAACAGAATCATTGACAACCAGAAACCCAGGTGGAGTCCAACTCTCACCCTGAAAGGGTCTGATTTACTGCCAACAATGCAAACTAAACTCTCACACCTCTTGTATAGGGACCAAATATCCCGTAGCAACAGACCCCCAATCCCATACTCGAGGAGCACCCCCCACAGTGTACCTCAAGGAACATGGTCAAATGCCTTTTCCAAGTCCCCAAAACACATGTGGACCAGACTTGGAAAACTACCTTGACCCCTCAAGGACCCTGGTGAGGGTAAAAAGCTGGTCCACTCTTGGAGCCCTGCCACCATGGAGCTTTTTAACTACCTTGTTGACGGCGCATAGGCACAAACCCACCCGAAGGTGCAGGGAAGCTACCCTCTCATCTACCAGGGAAAACTCCAACACACAGGCTCCAAGTCGGGGGGGCTAAAAGTAGACCCACATCAGCTCAGCACATCTTCCATGGACATTCCAGAGTGGAATAAGGTCCAGCCCCTCTCAAGGGGATTGGTTCTGGAGCCCGTGCTGTGTGTCAAGGTGAGCCCAACAATATCTAGTCAGTACCTCAACCTCACGCACAAGTTCAGGTTCCTTCCCCGCCAGAGAGGTCACTTTCTACATCCCAAGTGCCAGCTTTGGTAAGCCAGGGACAGAGCGCCTTCGGCTACAACCCATACACTTCACACCTAAATCATATGTTCCATCCTGCAGGTAGAGGGCCCACAGGAAGGCAAACCCATGTTGCTCGTTCAGGCTGAGCCTGACCGGGCCCCCTGGATAGAGACCCGGTCACCAGGCACTCTCCAACAAGCCCCTCCCCCAGGTCTAGCTCCAGGGTGAGGCCCACGTCCGGGCAAGAGACACAGAGCTCCTTGCTGTTTTGTCTCTATACGAGTCATTGGGATCGCTCTTTGCCTGGCCTGTCACCTAGGACCAGGCTTTGGTCTTGGATCTGTCCTTGGTAGACCCTACCAGGGGAAACTGCCCCCAACAGCATAGCTCCTAGGATCATTTAGGCACTCAAACTCCTCCACCATCATAAGGTGGCGATTCAAGGAGGAGGCTCATGAAGCAGACGGATAATTTCCTCGTGACTTATTTTAAACCTTGGCCCCTGACAAACCTCGTTTTACTGTATAAACCTCTTTGATGTAACCTCACGAACTACAAAATTGTTTTTTACAGGCTCAGAAGTTTTACTCTTTAGTAATTTTAACTATCACTATAAAGGGTGAACGAAGTAAAATCAACAGAGACCATGCTTTTATTTGTGCTGTGTACTGCTATCTAATGGTACAAACAAAGATGGCTCTGATGCCATGTTTTTCTGTATTGCAGGGCTGGATAAGTGCTGGTAGCACCCCCTGGTGGTCGAAACTGGTGACGTCACTGTGGCTGGAAAGAATCAGCAGGTCGCCCAGATCACTCTCACTTTCTCTGTGTGACAGTTTACCTGAGGAGCAGACTTTTAACCCCACCCAGAGGGAAATGGATCAGCGTGTGTGTGTGCGTGTGTGCATGTGTGTGTGCTGGAGGAGAGGTAGCCCTGAAAAGACTGTACAGAGCTCAGGGAAGAACCAGCATGATGATGGAGGTGCAACAGATGCAGAGACCAGGAGACGTCCATCAAATCACAGAAGAAAATGTTCACTAAACTGCCAGCTCGTAACACTTCATCCAGTGTGTGTGTGTGCGTGTGTGTGTGTGTGTGTGTGTGTGTGTGTGTGCGTGTGTGTGTGTGTGGATATGACTGTGCAACTCCAAGCTGGAGCTTTTTGGTTGCACCCTGGACTCTTGCCACTCTGTGCCCCTGTGATTTAGTTGAAATTTTTTTTTGTTAGGTGGGTGTCACTCTGTATATGTGCCTGTATGTTTCGGTGGGTGGGTGGGGTCACACAATAGAGTCACAGCTCGTACCTGTTGTCATTTTAGAATGTGGTGATGTCAAACTAGAGCAGTCTAACAGCGTCCTCTTCTCAAAGCCTTCTTTCTTTACTTCACAGCCGAGCGCCTCTGAAAATACCAGTGAGTAAAACTGGTATCATTCTGTGTTGATGTCCATTTTCAATAAAATCACCATCACAATGTTTATTTATCTTTTAATTATTTCAATTTTATGTCAACCTTCTGAACCAAATAGTTTCATTCTGATTTATTTTGGCCACCACAGTTTTTATCTAACAAACGTAAACGGTACATTTATTTGGACTATTCGAAATATTAAAGGTTGCAGGTTGGTCTGCGGGATTGATGGGAAAAAATAAAACAAATAGTTGAGTTTTTATTTTTGGAAAAAAACGTATGGTACTTTTTTTGTTTGCGCATGTTTTATATTTTCATCTTGGTTTCAAATAAGAGTGTAATCCTGTTTGTTGGTGTGTTGTTTTGGAGTCAGCCATACGGACCTAACACAGGTAAAAGTGAAAGAAATACTGTGTAAGAGTCAAATTTGCTGTGCCAGGTCCGTTTGTTTCCAGGAAACTGATTTCAGCTTGTGTTGTTTAAAGATGCAGATGGCTTTGGGATAAGGCATAGTGTCTAAAGGGCGGCAGGCGTAGTGGGGAAACTGCATGTACATAACCAGCCAATGATTGTTTTGTTGGTTCCAGTTACAAAAAAGGGGGTGGTTGCATTAATGGTGGGGTTGGAGGAACTGGTTACCCATCATAGTATTACTTTGTATCTGTTTCCCTTCTCACTTTTTGGAAACTTTCACGCTGCCTGTCTTTAGCCCGTTTTTGCCATAAATGTCCTCCACTATGGGGTGCCATTTGTAAAGTTACACAGTCAAAATTTAACAGCAATATTTTGGTTTATTTAGCCTTTCATAAGAAAAAAAGGTTTTTTGTTGTTTTTTCAGTTATATTTTCACCATGTCGTAAATGCATTTATAAATGTCATAGTTCCAAACTAAATATTTAATTTACAAGTTAAATATTGAATTTTTAAGCTAAACATTTAATTCCTAAACTAAATATTTAATTTGCTAACTAAATATTTAGCTCAAACCTATTTATTTTCCAAGCTAGACATTTAATTTCCAAAATAAATATTTAATTTGCTAACTAAATATTTAACCTGGACCTAAATATTTAACGCTAGATAAATATTTAGCTTGTGAGTTAAATAGTTAGGTCAGTTTGAGCTAAATATTTAGATAGCAAATTAAATATTTATTTTGGAAATTAAATGTTTAGCTTGGAAAATAAATATTTAAGTCTGAGCAAATTAAATATTTAGTTTAGGAATTAAATGTTTAGTTTAATAAAATTTAATATTTAGCTTGGACAATAAATATTTAGTTTGGAAATAAAATGTTTAGTTTTGAAAATAAATATTTAGCTTGGAAATTAAATATTTAATTTACACCTGAATATGTAGTTTATTAACTAAATATTTAACTTGCAAGTTAAGTATTTAGTTTGTAAACTAAATATTTAGCTTGTAAATTAAATATTTAATTTGGAACTATGACATTTCTAAATGTATGAACATGGCGAAAATATGACTTTGAAAAAAAAACTTTATTTTTCTCATGAAAGGCTAAATCAATCAAAAATATTGCTGTTATTTTTTGATTGTGTAACTTTATAAATGGCACTCCATACTCTATCGTCTCACTCGCCACGTAGATGCTTGCGGCTTATACCCCCGATCCTTATCTGGACATAAGAGACCTTGATGGGGAAAGTGTCCTGATGTGCGTATAAAAAAACAAGGATGTAAGGAGGAAGACAAGTATGAGGCACAGAACTTAAAGGTGAAGTTTGAAAAAAATAAAGACACTTTTACAATAAATGGGACTTCTGTCGTCATCTGCAGACACATTAATCTCACCCGGTGTCTAAAAATTCAACGAGCTGCTTAGTTTTGTATTCGTTTTATTAAAACAAAGCAACTTGTCAGCTACTGTGCTGACAATAAAATTAAAGTGCATGTTATGAAAAGTCATCTAAACATTAAAAAAGCATAATAAATATAAAATGAAATATTCAGTGCCTGCAGTAAAATAACATTTTGGGTCACCTTTAGTTTTGAATTTTTGGTAATTGGTTTCTTGCAACAATTAAATAATTTAATAAAAAGAGACTAGAAAGAAAACAAGGAAACTTTAGTCACTAAAATATTGATAATGGTGTCAAATTGTATTTGGATTATCATTAAGTATTCATTTATTTTAAATCCCCACCCCCCAAAGTCATACAACAGTTACCGTATATTTTAGCTCAAACTATCCTCTTTAAAACTATGTCGACCTTTTTAACTTGCTGTGTTTATTAATTCAGTTCTATTCAGTTTTTTATAGCGCCAAGTCACAACAGAAGCTGTCTCAGGCCACTGTACAAAAACATTCACATACCGTATTTTTGGGACTATAAGGCACACCTGATTATAAGGCACAATATCAATAAACGGGTTTGTTTTCATACATAAGGCACACCGGATAAGGCACATTAAGCGAAACAAAACAGTCAAATAAGTCAAACTTTATTCAACTCATTCACAATAATCACATAAAATCAGTTCGAGGTCAGTAAGCACAACCAGAATTAATACATATGGCACCTGATTATAAGGCTCACTGTTGATTTTTGAGAAAATTAAATAATTTTAAGTGCACCTTATAGTCTGAAAAATATGGTACATAATAGCCAATTTGTAATGTAAGGAGGCCAGCAGATTGCGTTGAATCTTCACATATAAATTCACGTGCTCGATGGAGAGTTCTGTCGCTTTCCCTTCAAGAATTTTTAAAATCTGACGTAGTTTTTGCACTGCGTTCTTGTGTTTGAGGCTTACTTTTCAGTCTATTTTCTGTCTGCTCTCTTGGCAGTCCGAGAGACACCGGTGTCCGTTATGGTGACCACAATGAGCCACTGGTAGCTGCTTTAAAATGTATGTTTACATTACATAGTCTATTCATTTATCAGTTAGCATGTAAGGGGCTAAATAAATAAAAACAAACACAAGGCCTAGCTTAATGCTCCATGTTTCTGAGGGAACTTAGGGGCCATTGTTGACTTCAGGATCCGTATGGAGATCAACACACCGGTTCTGGATGGACTTCACTTTAAACAACGTGGTATTTTTAATTTGTGGACAACAAATTCACCTTTTTATTCCACATACCGTAGACATCAACAGAGCGCTTGGCAGTCACGCACTTGGAGGGCCTGTGGTTGCCATGGCTACAAGCAACCCCGTTACCGTGGAGACCCCGCTGCTTTGTCGACAAAATCGTGTATTATCAACATATGTTTGATTAAATCACAATACTGAGATATTTTAAGCGGGTTTCCCATTGGTACCTTCATGCTACAGCTTATAAAATATTTGAAAAGCATTTGTTGTTATAAGTCTTCTTCACAGCTGCTTTAATTTATGATATTAAGCTGCTCGTGTGCTACATACACACCATCTTAAACTGCAGTAAACCCTTTCCTATTGCAGAAGATCAATGTGAATGAGGTCAAAGAAAAACCATAATAAACCACTGAACAATACAAACATTTTACACACAACCAGTTAACAAAGGAATGATTTGTAAGGCAAGCGGATTTATCATATAATAAAGTTGTTCACTTCAAAGTAGAGAACTATAATTCAAAGTTTCCTTGGGGGGAAAAAAACAAACTTTTCTGTGAACTACAGTTTTGTTATTAGTACTTATACCTTAAATTGTGAATATTTATAATAAAAACTATTACATAAATGTTTAGAAATTTTTTTTACTTAATTTTTTTTTCACTAGAAGAAAAAGTCATTGTGGATTTACATTTTTCATATTATAATTTGTTAAAAAGCAGTTTTACACACCCACACTTAGACCAAAGTTTAGAAACAATGTAAATATGAATGCTATGCATATATTGTAGATATCTTGTAAAAATCTGATGGGATGCTATTTTAACATAGTAAATGCAGAATTACATTTAAGAACTACAAGCACATTATACATATCTGAAATATTGATTCTTGTAGTAAAAGTTGTTTTTCCAGATATCCACAATGTTAATCTAGATAGGAAGAATGTACTTATACATAAAAACAGTGGTGTAGTCTATGAGATACGCGGGCATACGGAGTATCCCCACTATAAAAGCTTGGGAATTTCTGTAAAGTGCACAATGACACGTGTCATTGTCAACACATTTGGAACATTTTATAAACACATTGAGTTGGTTCAGTCTGATTTTATATAATTAATACTTCTGTACTTACTACTACTTGAACATGTTTTGCTTTGATACTGTTTTATAAATTCTATAACATGTTTTTTTAAACACAAAGCCAACTGTTGTACAAAGTTTGTTGTACATTTATTCAAATAAAAGCATCAGAGAAATTTTGAAATGCTCAATACACTTAAAAATCAAAATAAATTAACGATTACATTGTACTAACCAGTGTACTTTGGTTTCTAAGCACAGTATACCCACTACAAAAATGTAGATTACACCACTGCATATAAAAAAGAATGATGTGATTTCTAACAAAGTTAAATCTGGTCCTCTGGACATTCAAAAAAACAACAAAAAAAACAAACAAAGCAAATCAACAAAAAAATGTAGAAACGTTTCGTCTCTCATCCGAGAGACTTCCTCAGTCTGAGGTGCTGTATTCAGCTCAGTCTCTTAAATAGCACCGTCTCAGAGTGGATCAACCAGTTTTGCTGCTGACAACCAAAACCAGCTGATCACATGCTCAAGAAGGACCATCAGCCTAACAATGGATCATTAGCACACTGATGGCTGTTTACTGTTCACAGAGGGCTGAGTGATACTAGCAATCACAGCATTGTAAGAGGGGGACAGTTGAACCCGGAGGCCTCCACCCCTGTTTAACGATGGACGATTTCTTTTTCACAAAGATGGCCTCCTTTACTCCTCTCTCAAACCATCGTTCCTCTCTGTCCAGGATGTGAACATCTTCATCCCTGAAAGAGTGACCGCTGGCCTGGAGATGAGTGTAGACCGCAGAATCATGGCCTGATGATGTTGATCTTCTGTGCTGGGCCATTTTTTTTTTTTTTTGAATGTCCAGAGGACCAGATTTAACTTTTTTAGATTTTTCTACCTGGATTATTGAGCATGCATCAGGATAAATGATGTGATTTGTTCTTTAAAAATATCAAAAATGTTGGTTATTGAAAGATAAAAGGCATTCTGCATAGTCACATGGTTCGTTGTGACTAGGAAAAAATAATTTATGAATATAAGCCATACATTTCTTTAAATATATATACACTTTTTACGGATTTTTAGGCATCTTAAACTTGTTTTTTTCCTAATATACACTCAGTTTTGGAAAACTTGAAATATAATTTTAATATAAGTAATGCTAATTATATAAATCAAACTCTGATGAGGAAGAATGCCATTTTGACGAGTGCTGCTTATAAAAACAACTAAAGATAGAAGCGAGGTCTGATTATATGATACAAGGTTCTGCCCTAAACGCAATGAACCCTCCGCTCCCTCTCAGCCCTTCCCGTCATGCTGCGCTGCTGCCTGCTCCTCCGTCGAGCCGCCATGTTGTTGGAGTAAAAGCCTGGGGTGTCGGAGACAAACTGGGGCCAAAATCCGCAGCCATCCACCCTCTTCGCCGGTGAGTATCGCTTTTTCCCTGTTCGCGGTTGCACTAGGCACGGCTTATGAACCTATCGGTACGGATATTGTAGCCACGGCGGCTCAAAGAGGGGTGAAACGGGAGAGTTTTGTGATCTGGAGCGGCAGTCTCCCTTTCTGCTGCCTGCCTCCTTCCTCCCCTTGTGTCGGTCTTCCGCTCCAGACAGCTCTGGGCCTTTGTTAGCATCAGCGTCAGCGGGGACCCGTGTCGGTAGACCGACTGAGACCCCCCGGGGTGTTCGTTTGTAACGTAATTATAACGTTGCGGGGAGGACCGACGCGGTTGAAATCGTTGCGTGACGGCTGTGTTCGGCAGCCGGTTTGAGCTTGTGACAGGAGGCCGTGTTATTGTTGGTGGACTCGGGCTGTGGAGCCTCCATAGCTGGTCCAGGTTGAGGTGAGCGGCCGCAGGTGCCTCAAACGGCGGAAACACCTCAACACCCGCCTTTCTTAAAACAATTTACACCGAGACAACAGTTTTCTCCGCCAGCTGCAGGTTGGCATTGTCACACCCCTCTGTGTGCCCGGTGTGCGGTGGATCGATCCCCGGTGTTGAGCGGTTTACCCCCCCGGGAGGACTCCGCTCGTTTCCGGGTGCTGGAGGTAACACGGGCCGGGGAGCCTCGTCTTGTGGACGAGTGGCGGATTTCCGGGTGTTTCGCGCACAGGAATGGAGAGCTGACATTTCCCTGACGCTGAATGGAGAGTGACAGGAAAACAAAGGCAGGACTGGTTCAGAGAACGACCAGTTGTTGAGCAGGTTTGTTTTTATTCTTTCAGGAGCTGCTCAGCGCCTGGTCGGGTCTTTGACCCGCGTGGTTTTCTCTGGGCTTAGCAGAGAGCTGGAGGGTTTGAAGAGTCCCAGTGTCAGACTGTGTCACACAAAGGTAATTATGGCCGTGGCTCAGCTTGTCATTTCCACATGGCCTGTAGGGACTCTAATGCCAAACTGCTCATTTGAAGAGACTGGTGCTTGTTGGAGAAGAAGAGGCAGTAAAATACAGATTATACTACGCTCACTGCTTCTCCGGGGTTAAAACGTTTACTAATTAACTTAAAAGTTCTAGTTGTATACCTAATGATTACTTTCTGGGTTTCATTCACATCTGTCCATCTGTTCACGAGATATTTTGCTAACTGACAGATAAGCTCTTACAGGCCCTTTATCGTCCACCTTGCCTTTCTTTAGCAGGTTCAACACTCTGTCCTTCACTCCGCTCTGGTTATAAGTAACCACGCGACCTCTGACCCTTTCAGAATGACCACCACTAGGTTCATGTTAGGTTTATTTGTCATGTGCACAATCACAAGGTCAACAATGCAATGAAATGCTGAGGACGAGAAGAACCATCTTGACTCGCCCAAAAAAACCCAACAAGAAATACAAAAGCATGCTGCAAAAATACTAAAAAATACTACTAAAATACTAAAAACATACTAAAAAAATACTACTAAATACTAAAAAACAAGGCACCAAAGTTGAAAAAGGCATACATCTACAGTGTGGTTTGGTTAATAGTGAGGTTCTTTCATCATCGTGGTTCTGTTCGGTTAGCGGCGTGGTCTTGTTAGCAGGTCCAGTCAGCAGCTTGATGGTAATAAGGACCGCAGCAGCACTAGTTTGTGTCTCCGTCCTGTAAACAAATCTGTAATCTCCTCTGTGCACACACTTTTAGATATGTTTCAAGTAGATTTACCGTATTTTCTGGCGTATAAGTCACATCAGACAAAAAAAGCATCATGAAGAGGAAAAAACATGTATAAGTCGCTTCAGCGTATAACTCACATTTATTATGCATCACTGCTGACCCGTCGCGTTTATTATGCGTTTATTTAATGGTAAAAACAGCTTCATTTCACCTGGGCGCCACGGTTCCATCCATCGCAGCCGGAGTTGTGAGCTCTCCAGCTCTCCTCCACCTGCACCAGCTGAGTGAAGTGAGCGGGCACCGGAGGACTCGCTGTTGCAGTTCTTTGAAATTTAAAGCGTCAGTCAAAAATTGCGTTATGAATATGGAAGAAAAAAAAACATAAGTCGCAGGACTGACAAATCTATGCACAAAACTGACTTGTACGCCAGAAAATACGGTATTTAAAACACCAAGTACCAAGTTTAAGGTACATCCAGGCTACACCAAGCTGTTCTGAAACATTTAACAAGAGTATTGTCTAAAAAAGTGTTTAAAGTTATTTTTTTTATCCTTCTGAGGCACATGTTTGTGATGCCGCTTGACTTGTTTCAGTTTGTTTATTGAAGAAATCAGAATGAGCACTGACACCTAAAAACATAGTGATTTGCGTTACGAGTGTAGTAAGAGTTTGTTTTTGAGGCGTCGTCTTTCTGTGACTGATCGATCTGCAGCCGTTCTGCTGCCTGAGCAAAGTTTAATCACAAACGTTCCTGCTTAAAGAACAACCAGAACCAAAGATATTAAAGTAATCAGCACACTGGGGTGGGTGTCACGCATGAATTAACAATTTGTTGGTGGTGTTGTTTTATGGTTCTTGTGCAATACCAAAGTTGGCATTGTTTTAATAGGTGTTCAAAGTTTAAACCACTTTATTTGGATTAAAAATACAAGTTTCAGTCGTTCACAATGTTCTAACGTGCATTTTGTTTTACGTGAGCGCAGCGACTTGCATGTTCATATTTTAGCTTTTACTTTAACTTTCTTTAGGGAATCCACAGATATTTGTATTTTTATTCAGCTATTCAAAATTTTAAATGCATAAAGATATGTATGTGGACCACTTAAAATCATTTCACAAAGACAGTATAAATAATGCATGCTTTATTAATTTTAGTTTATAACATTTACATTGACAGAAGTTAAAGTGAAGCATCCAGACAGTCATGATGAATCTAAAATATTTGATTTTCACCTTTTAGAACTAAAAGTGGTTTCAGTGAGAGGGAAAGAGAAAAGACAAACGGCTGCACTCGTCCAGTTTGCTTCGAACTTGAGTAGTTTGAAAACACGACAACGGTGGAACTACACTTTGGACTTTTTATTTTGCTTTAATAAACAAAGTTAAAACACAATATGTAATCTAAATTAAGTCAGGTCCTCTGGACGGATTCTTCTTTGGTGAAATGTTTCATCTTTTATCCAAAAGACTTCTTCAGTCTGAGGAGCTGCAACAGACTCAGTCATATAAATAGCACCTTCTCACAGTGGACCGACCAGTTTACCGCTGACAGCCAGAACTATCTACTCGCGTGTAAAAGGAGGACCATCGGCCGAACATTCGGTTGTTGGTGCCTTGATGAACGCAATAACAGCATTGTAAGAGGAGGACCACTGAACACGGAGGCCCCTGTTTAACGATGGACGAGTTCACTTCACAAAGATGGCTTCCTTCACTCCTCAAACCGACATTCCTCTCTATGAAGTATGTGCACGTCTTCATCCCTGAAAGAGTGACCAGATGAGTGTAGACCACAGAGTCCTGGCCTGATGATGTTGCTCTTCTGTGCTGGTCCATCCTTTTGGCCAGTGGCTGTTTAGTTTCCCCGATGTAAGACTGATCACAGCCCTCCTGTGTTCATCTTTGTGATGAACCAGTCTGGATCTTTGTGATGAACCAGTCTGGATCTTTGTGATGAACCAGTCTGGATCATCACAAAGATCCAGTCCTCTGGCACAAACGGAGTAATATAGTGTATGCTCAGTGCCAGGAGGGCTGCATTTCTGGATAAATACTAGCTAGCTGTCAAATATTCTCCAGATGAAACTTGCAATTTAACTTTGACAATCAAACAACAATGTGCACACTCTTTATTTAGACGTAAGGTCACTTAGAAACACGTTTTATTCACTTTTATAGTGTGTCTGGGTGTAGTTTAGCAACATTCAAATAGTTTTAGTCCAACATTTTGAGCGCAGTTACCTTTAAGCTCTTCAGTGTTGGTCATTCTCACGTGTATGAGGTAATGCTGACGTCCTCTGAAGTTGTGCACAAAGATCTTTAGAGTTGACATCGTTTTTGCTTCATTTGTTGTGCAAGCGTGTTAACTATTATCTTTTACTGTTGGTGCTAATCACAGGGGATTGTTGTCTTTTGTTCATAAACTGCAACAGCAATGCCTTGTGTTGTGTGTGTGTACGGCACACCTTCACCCTTGCGTAAACGGCACTTGTGTTAACGGTTTTGTGGGACGTTGCAGCTGACTTCAAAGTTTCTGGTTGGTCAGGTACTGCCTTTATATCAGGCTAAATCAGCTGAAAAGAGACGATTTGAGCTAGTGCCGACTAGTTTTAAGAACGGTCGAGGGGAGCTGTAACCGTTTCATCAAAGTAACCAGTCAGAGAAACATCACTTTTGGCTGGTAGTGATAGTGGTTGGTTTGTTAAACAAATATAGACGTGCACACCTTGCCCCACTCATGTTGAAAGGTACCGAACAGTTGGTTTGTGTCACTTTGGCCGAAGCTAATAGTTTTAACTGTGCCAGATAACTTGTTTCACCTCGAACAAGTCAAGCAGCGAATCAGTGTTCAACCTGAGTAATCTTCTCGGTCTGCACTGAACACACAAGTTGTCAGATGCGTCTTTAAGATGCAAATCGTTCTGTGAACGTAGATGATCTCCATATAAGGAAGGTAGTCACAGTTCCAGTGTGTGGGATGTACTGCTTGGGATGAAGATTAGGAGTGGATGGATGGAGGGCTGGTTCATGAGTGCAACGTTTACTTAAATATTTTATCAAATGCTGCTCAGTTTAAAACATTTTAATAGCCAAGACATTTGTAATTAATTAATAAATGATCATTTAATTTAGCTGCCTCCCCGTAAAGTCTTTTATTAAACCTTATCCTTGGGTCAAAACTTCTGCCCTCGTCTTGCAAAACTGTTTTCTAGGTCGTTCATGTTAGTGTCCATTTCTTCTCACATTGTACTCGCAGCAAGCTTTGTGCCCACATTAAGTATTTAATTTACAGGAGTATACATTAAAAAAGATAGATTTCATCCAGTTTTTTAGTGATTGCTTATTATCAGCTTGTTTTTTAGACCTGGACATTCAGGACTGAAGTCTCTGTGTATTTTTTCATAGGAGAGTTCCCTTGCAAGTGTCAAAATACAACTCTGTCCATCCAACTTGTTTACCCACTTTTCTTTTCTGGGTCACGGGAGCTGGTTCCAATCTCCAGCAGTCACTGTGCGAGAAGCAGGGGACACCCTGGACAGGTTACAAGTCCATCGCAGGGACACAAAGAGACAAACAGGACAAACAACCATTAAAACTCTCACTCACACCCAGGGACAATTTAGTTACCAATTAAACTAACATGCATGTTTTTTGGTCTGTGGGAGGAAACCAGAGTACCTGGGGGAAGAAAAAAAATTCACTGGGAGAACATGCAAACACCTCCCAGAAAGTGTGAGAAGACGATCCTGCAACATACATTTTAAAATGTATGCATAGAATGAATCTTTTGTGACAAAGATGAGTTTGAGATGCCTGCAACAAGGAATTGTGTTGCACATTTTGCTAGCATGCAAATAGTTTCTATGTCGCTCTGTGATGGACTTGCGACTAGGGGTTGAACGAGTATATAATTTTAAAACTCGACATTAACATAATAAAACTCGAGTAGAACTCAAGTATTTGATGACGAATTAGATCTCAAGATACATAAATGAATAAAACCGCAAAAAAAGGTAATTATTTACAAAAAAAAAGACCAACAAAACATTGGGAGCGTATATTATGCTCCTACCATTTATCATACTGCAAATAAGTCACAGGAAAAACTAAACTATTAGTTATTATTATTAAACTACAAACGTGAAGAAACATGCAGCTTAAACCGAAACTGGTTCGGTGGATTGGACCCGGTGTTACACCATACTCTGTGACCTGCAACAGTGCAACACCGCCCCCTACAGTCATACGGTGGTCACATAATATGACGTCACTACGGATACTCGACGTTACATTTTTAACCTCGATAGATGTCCTAGCAATCGATGTGTAGATTACTCGAGTACTCTGTTGATGCCCTACTTGCGACCTGTCCACGATGTTCCTTGTCTCTTGTGCAGTGACTGCTGGACATTTGCATCATGTCCAGCAGTCACTGCAGCCCAGAATGGAAGAAGCGGGTGAAGATAATGGATGGATGAAAGTTCAGAATTCAAGTGACCGCACTGAGTCTCAGGGGCTCACATTAGGAAATTGAGAACCTCCTGAATGTTTTGAAATTCTTTTGCAAATGTTGTTTGCAAACTACTGTCATCAACAGTTTGAAGCTCAGTGAGATGCTGTGTTTAGGGGCTGAACTCTAGTTTCACTGAACTACAGTTGGCAGTGTCTAATTTTTGTTTTCTTCTGCTAATTCTGTTAGCAGCTATGTAAGCTTACATAATTGATACATTAACCTCTTCTTCACCTGCTACAGTTCTGTCTCCTGGCAGCTCTCTTGATGAATACAACAGTAATTTCTGTTGTTGTTTATAGTCCAAGATAGTTAATTGGTGTGGGGAACTTATACTTGTACCATCAAGTCAAATGTTTGCCTTTGAAATACTCTCACAACCATCTGCTGAGGTAGTTCTATTAGGGCTGCAGGGATTTAAGAAAACAAACAATATTTAATATTGCAATATGCAACTTTAAAACAGATTCCCAGCCGGTTTTCACACCTGATGGGAACAGAGGGGCCTCGACTGTGAATTAGAGGAACAAAGACCTACTGTTTAGGTTTTTAGATGTGAACTGCCAATCTACATATATGTGTGTATGTGTGTCTTATTTCACTCAGCCTTATAACCTGTATCTCTCACTCTCTGCTCTTTGAATTGAGAAAGCTCCTCGGATGAGGAGCGAAACGTCTTCTGTTACAAATAAAGTCCAGTTGTTTTTGTATTGAACGCTTTTTGAATATTTAATATTAAACTTTGAAATGAAAAACTCAACTTCTCTTCTTTTGTCTCAATGCTTAGAAACCTTGTTAGTTTTAGCATCTCAGACATTATCATCTAAAGTGGAGGTGGTCAGTGAGGGTCCCATCAAGTAAGCCAGATATGTCCATGAATGCATTTTACCTGGAAATATTATTGCCTACTATTACTGGCAGTTCCAGCAGTCCTTTATTGCATTGATATTGTGATAGTAAAACAGTTGTAACATGTTGCACTGCCCTAAACTTCATTCTTTGAAGATGATCACCCATGAAAGACTGATAAGGTCACTGTCAGATCTTGGCTAGATGCACATAAAGAAAAGCTTTGCAAGCTTCTGAAGAACTCGACACTTGTGCTGTTCAGCCTGAACGCCACAAACAGAACGTTTTATTGACTAAATTCTGTTCTGAACTTGTCAGATCTTGTCAGACATTTGTTGTTCTGTGTTGAACATGTTTGCTGTCATCTACATAAGACGTGTGTTTTATTCCTGGCAGGCTGTGGTGGAATGAGCAGCGTGTGTGTGTTGAAGAGGAAAGCAGTGCTCTGGCAGGATTCATTCAGCCCCCACCATAGAAGTACATCTCCCAACATGCCTGTGGTGCTGAGCAGCAGAGGACATGCCCCCCCACCTGGACAGGCCCCTCAGGCCACACCCCCTATCCAGCAGGTAATACCCACTACTCTTTCACAATAAAGCTGCATCCAGACATTCGTGCAGGACAAGTACTCGTACAAAATTAAAACACGTTTAACATGTTCTGCCGGAGACCTAATTGTCATTGGGGAGAGGCTGTTTTTAAATTGGTTAGTGCGAATCCTGATCAAGCCCCCCCCCCCCCCACTTCTCTATCAACATCTGCACTCTTGAACCATTTCTTTTCATTAGGCTCATAAAATGTGAAAGTCGCTGGGCTTTTCTGACAGCGACCAAGATGTTAGCTGTGATGTAGGTATCCACAAATAAAAAAATTTTGCCCTGGTCCAAACCATCATGATTTATTAAAAAAAAGTAAGAAGATTTGTGCTATGCTTCCTAAAGTTGATGATTAGTTTTGTTTTTGTTTTTTGTGTTTAGTGACAGATTTGTTTCGTGATTGCTAGTACACTACACCAGCTTCTGGACCTTGTCCCTAAAGGCTGACTCATCACCATCCAATTAGCCCCACCATTGTTGTCACTGGCAAATTTTATGCTGGTGTTCGACAGATGAGCAGGTGTACAGTCAGTACAATGTGGGACTTGGCACACATCCTTGTGGTGAGCACGTTGGTGGAGGAGAGATGAGGTCCAAGTTCCACAGTCAGTGGACGGCCCATCAGAAAGTCGTTTATCCAGGTGTAGTTGTGTGTAGAGCAACCCCAGGCCAGACAGCTTGTTGAGCAGGATGCTGGGAGTGATTGTATCAAATGCAGAGAGCTGTAGACAATGAAAAGCATCCTCACATAACCCCCACTATGCTCCAGATGGCTGAGGGAAGAGCAACAGCAAAGGCATTTTCTGTAAATCTGCCCCGCCGATGGGCAAACCGGTGCTGGTCCAAGACGGGAGGCTGCTTTGTAGTTGTTGTTTTTCTTTTTTAAGCACCAGTTTCTCAAAGTACTTCATGATTACAGGTGTAAGTGCAACAGACCTGTAATCATTTAGACTGTTGCTGGTTGATTTTTTTAGGAACAGGGATGATGATCCTGGTCCTGCTGCTGTTCACTTTTATATTTTTTTATATAACTAGTTGTGTTAGTTTATTTTTGCTAATGTTGTTGTTTGCTGCAATTTGAGTAGGAGTGTAACGCAATTTCAATTTCTATGTATGTCCTGTACATATGCAGAATTGACAATAAAAATCAATCAATCAATCAATCAATCAATCAATCAATGATGGTTGATTTTCAGTAGAGTGGAACAATGGTTTATGCCAGGGAGCGGTTGAAGATGGCGGTAAAGGCAGCGGTGAGCTGGTCAGCACAGGTTTTAGTACTTTCTCTGGTATTCTATCAGGGCCAGCAGCTTTCCCTGGATTCACATATCTAAGTGAACATCGCACTTCATATTCCTTCATAGCGAGTACATGGGGACTAGGAGTCTGTGTTGTTGTACACAAGTTAGTTTCTTTTACCTCAAAACATAACAACAAAAAACTTTAACCCTACTGCATACATATACCATGGTTTGGAGGTGCACTGAATGGAGGGTGGTAATTATTTTCAAGACTTTCATTAAAGTATACGAAGTCCTGTAGTGAACTGTCATCGTGATAAACAACTTCTTTTCATGCTCATCTGGTTTCATGCTGCTACAACTCTAAAGGTAGCAGTAACATATCAGGTTGCCAACTGTAGTAGTTTTCTTTGCGAGGTTGTTTTATTTTCTGGCACAACAGCAGCCCTTGGACACAAATATCCTTTGCTTGCAAAATAAATGAATAAATGGATGTAAAACATTACAGTTTTATTTCTTAAAAAGTCAAAAGCGGAAAGATATGGCAACAGCAGTTCCTCGCCTTAAGTACACGCGCTCACTTCTCAACGTTGATTTTTTTTTGACTGGTGAAAATTCAGTCCTCTTAATTTATACAGCACAAATTCACAACAAATGTTTTTCAGGGCACTGTACAAAAACATTCACATACATTATAAAAGCCAGTTAGTAAAATGTATCTCGGGAAGCTAGAAGATTGTGTAGAATCTCCACATCATCGGAAACTTCCATCCCAAGCAAGCACACAGGCAACAGTGGAAAGGAAAAACTAATTTTAACAGGAAGAAACCTTCAGCAGAACCAGGCTCAGGATGAGCGTCCATCTGCCTCATCCAGCTGGGGAAAGAGAGGGCAGGAAAACAAATACAAACACAGAATGGCTAATCCAGGTCTAGTTTATATGGAGAAAGATGAAGAAAAACATGTTGTTGATAGAATTGGAAAAATTTGGACAGTAGAGTGAGTAAAGACAGCAGCAGAGTGAGGTCAGTTTGTCCTCCAGCAGTCTAGTCTATAGCAGCATAACTAAGGGATAGCTCAGGAAACCCAAGCTAACAACTATAAGATTAATCAAAAAAGCCATTGTTTTCACAAACTCTAGGAATAACAGGTAAACCTTCAGTCTGGAGCAAAGTGCTCTGTTTGGAAAATATGGAACAGTACAACCCTTAATGTGAGATTGAACTTGGTTGTTGAGTTTTATATGTTGGAAAATTATTTTAAGTTCAATTTAAAATGTAACAGGGAGTCAATGGAGAGAGGCGCAAACAGAGAAATATGATCTAACTCTCATTAGAACTCCAGCAGCAGTATTTTTAATCAACTGAAGAGTTTTTGTACATCCAGATAATAAAGAATTGTAATGGTTCATCCTAGACGTGATAAATGCATGGACCATTTATTCTGCAACAGTTTTGGACAAGATTTTTCTGATTTTAGTGATATTACGTAGGTGGAACAAAACAGTCTTGAAAACATTTTTTTTTATGTGGGGTTAAGTGACAAATCTTGATCAAAAATAACACCAAGGTTCTTTACATTAGGACTGGTGATCAAATTAATTAAATCCAGAAGAAGTGGGACAAAAAAGTGTTAAGATGCTCCAAAAAACAGAAGCTCTGTCTTGTCTGAGTTTAAAAGCAGGATGAGTCAACCAAGTTTTATTATTTTTGTTCAGATGCTCAAACAATTAAATTACAACTATTCTTTCAGGATTTTTTAAAAACTAATGGGAGACTGGATATAGGTCTATAACTGGCCAAAACTCTTGAATCAAGAACATTAAGTTTGATTACAGCGACCTTAAAGCCTTAAAGTACATACGGTAACCATTCATTAAGGGCAGATTAAGCAGATCCAAAATGAGGATATTAATCACAGGAAATCCTCTTTGAGGAGTCTGGATGAGGCGAGATCTAGCAGACATGTTGATGGTTTGGATGAAGATCTTATTTTTGACAAGTCAGAGCTCAACAGGACAAAAACAGTCCAAACATAAATCAGGTTCTAGTGACATTTCTGATGCTGCTTTGTTTGATAGAGTATCTGAGGCAGGAGTAGGAAGGATGGAGTGAATTTCTTCCCTAATTGAATTAAATTAATAAAGAATTTCATGAAGTCATCATCACATGAGGATACATGGCACTACAGTACTAAACTGAAACCTGGGGTTGGTCTTGTTCTCCTTTATTAAAGAAGAATAATGCACAGTTCTAGCTTTATAAAGGGCTTTCTTGTATGTTAGCAGGCTATCCAGGTTAAATAAAAATCATTCCATGTTATTGGAGAATAAATTTATTTCTTACTTTCTTCATGCCTGTTTTTAAAGACAAAACTTAATTAAACCAAGGAGCCAGCTTCCTCTGACTGACCACTTTCTTTTTTTATAGGAACAATTTTATCAAGTGATGTTTGTATTGAAGCTGTAATATTATCAGCAAGACAGATCTAAGTTGCTGCTCTGTAACGTATCAACAAAATGGAAGAAAACGACAATGGAAGAGCTTCTTTACGTTTGGTTACAGTTTGGTTACTGTTACAATTTGGTTAAATTTGGTTACTGATCAACACCTGCTAGTGGTTGTGTAGTCAGTTAATGTAAACTTAAAGGGTATTAAAAATGGTCACATAGAACAGGACCGTAAAGATATATGAAGCGTTTACTCTCAATGTCGCAGGTCATTGAGCAGGTTTGGAGACATTTTGGGTCAAATCAATTCACTATTAAATGATTAAAGGCTATGCTTAAGCTATCATTTTCTACATCTGCATGTATATTGAAACCCCCCCATTATAATGGCTTTATCGGTATCAATAGTAGGTCAGATAGAAAAATTGAAAACTCTGGCAAAAATTGAGAATAAGGATCTGGTGAACAACAAATAACAAATGTGTTTTTTATTTTCTTCTGATTTTCATTTTGGATGAGAAAGACTGAGAGTCGAGGACTGAAGAGTTATAACTGATTGGTTTAGCATTAATCAATAATCCTGACTGAAAAATAGCAGCAACACGTCCTCCTAGGCCTTGCTTTAGGAATATAACAATTTAGATAATTAGCAGGAGCGGATAATTTATGTTAATAAAATCTTCCTGTTCTAGCCAGTAAAACAAAATAAATGAATATGATGATCAGTCATCAAATCATTAACTAACAGAGATATGATGGAGATCGTGTTCAATAATTCACATTTAGTAAGTTTTATTTTGCTTTTCTGTTTAAGTAACTTTTTTAGAAGATTTGTATGATTTATTTTTCTTGAATTAAATTTTGGTTTGCTTATTAAATTTGGGCTGTGTGTGAGTTTTAAAGAGGGTTTGGGGTGGGTGACGGAGGAGAAGCAGCAGAGAGGTGTGTTAAGACTACAAAAGAAAAGAACAGAAAAATAAACACAAACATCCCGGACATGGAGAATTAGTGAGGATTGGCATCCCTGCAACCTCAATACCATCAAATGGCCATTAGATTATTAAACATTTCCTGTCACTGACCTTGGATGAACTGAATGTGAATCAATAGCATGCAATATTTCAGGGCAGCAGATATATGTATACGTATATATATTAGCAATTTAAGAAACAGTTTGTTGTTAAACTGTGCCAGTAATAGATTTAATAGATTTATTTAAACCAAGGATACCTCAGAAAACAATGTTAAATGTTAAAGCACTGCCTCTGTTGCTGTGTGCGTGTATTTAATCTGCAAACATGGTTCCTAAAGATCATCTGATGGTAATTTGTCTTTAGAAATCAGTGCAGCCGATGGCAGATATACAACACCGATTTTAATTTTATTAATCTTTTAGGTAAATATGTAATTTTCATTTACCATAATATATTAATAATTGTTCCACTTAAACAAATTAATATTCACCGCTTATAACATTCACTGTTATAATAAAAGCAGCCAAAGCTGGGGATCAATCAATAACTCTGAGCAAAGAACAGCAGCTTCTTTGCTCAACAAGCTGGTTAATATAACGCCTGGAAGGAAAAATAACAACTTTGTTCTACTTTAAATAGAAACACCAGAAGGTGGCTAATGGCAACGATTCAACAGAGTAGGATTTTCTTCACTGATTATCTTGAATTTATTATACAGAAAAGCATTCTGGTTAAAAAAACAACAACTGTTTTTCCTCAGTAAAGTGACTGCTGTCTGCAGTCATCACACTTTAACTGTACGTGTGTTTTTTTGTTGTGTTTTAAAGTGATTATTATATTTAACGCAGAGTAGACTTGAATAAACTGATAGCTACTTTTATAGGTACTATTTTGTACTTGTATGCAAGATGCAGATAAAATACTAGTGTTTTTAGCTTCCTATCTGATTTGTTTTTCATTGTCTAGAAAAAATAATTAAAGTGATATTGTTGCTGTTTTTAATTCACACATAAGGTGACCTGTTCGTGGCATATAATAAAATAATTGATTTATTTTCTCTTGATTTGTTGATTTGCCAATAATGAGGAATTCGCACATAATAATTATTAGTGATTTGCAGTCTAGACAGGTCAATCTGTTATTATTGTGTTGGGAAAATTAAGTTGTGCTTTCTGCTTGCTAACTTTATTCACTTTGTCTGAAAAGCATTTTTCATTTATGATGCAGCTTTGAGTTCCCATCTCCAATGGTTGGTGTGTAATTTATGCTATTTGGATCAAATAATGGCTGTATATTGGTCCATTTTACAGACTTTGAGGTAAAATTTGATGTGGTTGTAGCTTAGTCATCCTCAGCACACACTTTAACGGCTCTCCTTCGATTTCACAACATCACATGAGCTCTGACGTAATGCCATTTACAAGGTTTGACCAAACTGGCACAACTCTGTCCCAGTTTTACTATGATTGACAGTTTAGTTGCACATTTCAGTATTGTCCTTCTGCACGATCTGTGTGTGAGCAGATGACTTGGGCCATCTGTTTCCAGTACAACAGTTTGTGGCCGTGTCTTGAGACAAATGTAATGAGTGTAGAAGTCACTTGGCGTGTTGCTGGTGAAGAGAAATGTTTCTCTTTGTGTAAATATGAGTTTTAGTTTTATAGAATGGTATGTGGCCTTAAACTGCTCGCTGTGGGTTTTGTTGACAAGAATGAGGTTTTAAAACACAAGACAGTTTTCTGTTTCTTACTTTATATGATTCTTCAGAATACTGTAATAAACTTGTGTGGTTTTATTTTTTATTTTTATACTTGCATGACTAATTTGCATTCACCACTCCAATAATATATGTGACATTTCCATCCCTCTCATCAGTGATGGAATATTAATGTTGAGGTATTTTCCACATAGTCTTTGTAGAAATCATGATGATCGTGTTTATTTTGTTCTGTTGTAGCATTTCTCCAGTTGCTGCTCAGATGCTGCTACCTGTAATTTCAGAGTAATCTAAATGCGTTTGCTTGTGTCTCACCCAAGGGTGTGGCGGGCGCAGGGCGGTCGCAGGACGATGCCATGGTGGATTATTTCTTCCAGCGGCAGCACGGGGAACAGCCTGGCAAGCATCGCTGGCCCACTGGAGACAACATCCACGACAGTCAGGTTTGTCTCTGTTAATAAAGCAAGATATTAAACATGCAGCTGCATCAGTAGAATTACACTTCAGGCCTTGCTGTTGTGAGCGATTGTTTTTCATGTGTAGTTTTAATTAAGTTTTAGACAAATTAATTACTGGGCTAATAACTCAGTAACGTGAGTAAATGGACTTTAGATTTTGCATTAGCTCAGTGTGAGACTTCTTTTAGTAACTCAGTAGGTTCTTTTGTACAGGTCCGGTCCATGGACGAGCTGAACCATGACTTCCAGGCTCTGGCTCTGGAGGGACGGGCTATGGGAGAGGTGAGCAATGTGAGTTTCCTGCTCAGGGTCAGACTGAAGGTGATGGATGTAATTTCAAACAATTTAATTTGTGTTCTTCCTCAGTGTGTCCACTAGTGTACAGATGATTAAAGTCCTGTCCAAATGACTGTGTTGATGCAGTTTGGAAACACCTGTCTGGTGTTTTTTGGTATCTGACTCAAAAAACTGAAATGCCTATCATGAAAAAGTGAGAAAGCCAATAAAAAGAGGTGACCTTGTTTTTCAGACTTGCAGTTGATCTGTTTAGAACCAAAACGTTTGAGCGGAGATCATTTTTATTTTAAACCTGCAGAATGTAATGTTGGCGTTAATTTAACTCTTAATCTGATTACAGTGGTTCTGATCCGTCATAATAATTTTACCTTTAAGTAAACAATATGAAAAACTGTTTTTCAGTGCTTGCCAAGATTTGGTTTCAAATAAGGGCCTGTTCACACGACGCATATTTCGAGTGAAACCTCAGCTTTTCTGCTGCGATTCGGCCGTTCATTTACACAACAGCAGCCTCCACTCTCTCTGAGTCTGAGAGTTTTTGAACCCAGGTCTCAAAGAGTGGAGATTTTCGGAGGGAACCCCTCACGGAGGTGTGAAAAGCATGAACAGTGTAGTCATACATGCGCACTACAGGCATATATTTCATACGTGTGTGGCGCTGGAGTATAACACACTGAATGTGCTTAATAATAGTAAAAATTATAAACAGTACTTCTATTAGTGGTGGGAGATGTAATGCACAGCGGGCATGGATGGGATACAGCCTCCTTGGTGTTCAGTTCCAACCCATTGGTGGGGGCAGGTGCTGTTGCCATGGTGAGAGACAGGGATTTATCTTGTCATGACACGTTAGCCGTCTGTCACTAGCACTAGCAGTGTGCTTAAAATCAAGCTAACAGCTTATGCTAAAGCAGCTCGTCATAGCACATTAGCTGGAAACAAACTTTAAAGCTACACCGAAGGAGTGCTAGCTCGCCTTGATGCGCTAGCTTGAGTTACAGCTGCAATGGCTCAGTTGCTTAAAATCGAGCAGTGTCAGCAACAGCTCGCCTTGACGTGGTCACTGGTCCTAACTGTAACAAATCTACTTCTCACAAAGCAACAGCTTTTACCCGATTCAAAACTGAAGCCGGGAACTGCGTTTGCCGACGTGCTCCGTTACATGACGCCCGGGAGCTGTTTAGTAGCTAACCTAGCCTAAATGTGCTGAGGAAACTTAGTTGTATTCTCTCACAGGAAGAAAGCAAGAATGAGCAGGAGATGGTCTGTTGACCTTGGTATAATTATGAGGGCAGAGCCCCGAGCACGGCTCAGCTGGTCTGTCTGAGACAGGTGTGATGCTGGAGCGTTTCCCCCAGTGAAACACCGAACAGTTAGAAAAACAACCACCGTTTCATGACTGCTCTTAAGAACTAAAGCCTTAGCTTTTAAATTAATTTATATAGTAAAATAAGTTGACTGCTCCCAAACTAAACCGCTTGTTTACATTCAAAAAGCTAAATATTTAAAAGTAAAATAAGCCGTTTTGGATGCGCCCATTGAAGGCGAGCGTATAAAGGTATGATGTGTACATCCATAAACTTGCTCTTGTCCTGCCAAAAACTTGTGATCTGCTCAAGATAATTTCTAGACGGAGTGTTAGACATTTTTCATTACCCCAGGTTCAAGTTCAAGGTCACAAATAAAGGTCAACGTTAAAACAAGGTTTTTGCTTGTCCCACCCATAACGTCTGATCCTTTTAAGGTAATTTAACGAAACTTGTCACACATTTGTGTCACTACTAGACAGCACGTTGCATAATCTTTTATCACCCAAGCTCTAAGGTCAACTCACAAATCAAGGTCAAAGGTTAAACAAGGTCTTTGCTTGGCCAGGCCGTTGTTATAGATTGCTGTATATTAGTTTGTCAACGGGCATATAATGTGCCGTATGCTGTTCTTGTTGACATTTCTGCCAAGATATTTTACAAATACCACAGAAATTTTATATTTATATATTTTTTACAACAATAATCAACTTTTATTTCTTCATCTGTTTCCGCTCTGTTGTCTCTGTAGCAGCTCCTAACTGGTAAGAAGTTCTGGGAAACAGATGATTCTGGGAAAGACGGACCAAAAGGGATCTTCTTGGATCAGTGGCGGGACAGTGCATGGGGGGCCTCAGGTATCGAGCTGTCTGGGTTTATATTGAATTCAGTTCGGAGCTGAATGCAACTTTATGCAAAACTTTCACAAATATATTTTTTATCCCCCATACAAGCACATCAGTTCACCACCACAAACTATCAACATGAAATGCTTCACGTGTTTCTCCTGATTATAATCCTCTAATTCTGCTCCTTCATTCGAGCTGATTGTAGTTATTTCTGTAAACATGATGATGTAAGCACCGTGACTTTACACCTGAAGTTGATGGCGCTCATTTGAGCAGATGCTGCAAGTTTTGTTGGTCATCAAACATTATTAATTTTTGGATTCTTCAAATCAGATCACAGAAGATGATCGTGTTTACATAAATGTTGTAGCATCTGAACGTATTGCTAAAGACAAATTCTGAATATAACTTGAGAATCTCCAGTCAAGTTGAATAAGAAGGCTCCAGTAGCCACCACATCTGTCATACTTATTCTTTAGAAGTCATATCCAGCTGTTATAATTCTTTGTGTTTATAACTGTTTTCTCCTGGATCAATATTAATTTTTTCCCCCCGTCGTGACAGATCACTCTGTGTCTCAGCCAATCATGGTGTCCCGTCGGCCGGGGCAGGGTTTCCACGGCGGAGGTGAAGTTGGGGTGGGCTCAGTGATGTCACCACGGTCTGAAAGCGGGGGGCTGGGAGTTAGCATGGTGGAGTATGTCCTCTCATCCTCGCCAGCTGACAAACTGGACTCCTGCCTTCGAAAAGGACCCTATGTAAGTTTTCAGCCTTCTCTTCTTTTAGTTTACTGTTTATTTCAAGTCTTAATAGTCCACAAGGTTCCTATGTGTTGGACTGAATGACCACTGATGGATGCAGGTCACTCCACAGCCCCGGAGAGAAATGTTTGTGTTTTTGGACATGACTGAAAACCCTAAATTCCCGTCACTGGTAGCACCTTGTGTGGTAGCTGTATCTGAGTAAGAAATTAATGTACAACACCGTGTACCACACAAATTAAAAATGTACTGTGAATGAGCAAATAATTCATCACAGGTTGCTTGAATTTTATGCAGCTTGTCTGTCACAAATTTGCTAAAGCATACACAGATTTTTATTTCTGTTCTAAATTAGAGCTTAGGTACACAAAATGAGCACGTCCATAAAGACTAAAGGAGTCCTACAGCATAAATTCACAATAATAACCAAATATAGTTAAGAATTTAGTTCCCTTTGTTTTCTTTTTTTGGCTACGGTTGGTGCCTTTTTATGAATTTTAAGTCATACCAATAATAAAACTGAAACGCTGCGTGTAAATGTGCAGTAAGGTATTAAAAATGACCTTTGGCTTCAGCTGTGAAATCAACATATCTGAGTATTAAAAGTACATAGTTGTGAAATTAATAATTTGTAAGACTGTTTGTGCTCTGTGTTTATCTCTGTCATGGCCTGAGTTCTGCTTCTTTTTTTGTTTTTGACGTGTAAGAAACATGTTGTGTGTTGCCACGGATGCAGGGACCAAGAGATGGAGAGGTGGAGGAAGATAAGAGGGAGAAGCCGAAGACGGTGTTTGAGGGAGAGAAGCTAAAAGAGTTAACAGAAAGTGAATCTGATGTGATCAACGACGTCATCAACCCAAACGGGCTGCCCGTACAGAACGGCCTCGACATTGATGTCAAGGAGTTTGGGTAGGACACGGCGTTATTAAGTAAACGTTGACATTACTTGGACATCGTTCACATGTGAACTGCATCTCTCTGGCTCCTGCAGCCGTCCCTCAGGCAACATGCCTGCCCCCGGCCCTGAGGGCGACCTGCTGGGTGGTCCGGGCGTCGGGGCTGAAGGCTTGACACCCCTTGGAGGTGGTGGAGGCCCCAAACCTGAGGACTTCTCTGGTGTGGAACAAGGAGTCACCATGGACCCCATGGAGTCGGTCATGGAGCCGCTTCAGTTTGACTACAACTCTCAGATGCCCATGGACTCGACACCCACTGTGGGTTTATTTGATTACACTAACCAGCAGCAGGTAATGGCTGCAGCACACAAAACGGGACGTTGTCATGTAATAATCTCAGAGGCTCTGCTGACGTTTAACTGTAATTTACCTGTTGTCACACTGCTTGCAGCTGTTTCAAAGAAACAACGCCCTAGCCGTGCAGCAGTTAACAGCAGCCCAGCAACAGCAGTACGCACTGGCAGCAGCGCAGCAGCCCCACATTGGTTAGTCTGTTGTTATAATGTCACTTTGGAACATGGGACCTAACTGAGCCTCTTCATAAATTTATCCATTTTTTTAGGGTTTATCTTTGTGTTTAAAGGGCTTTTTTTAGCTACTCCTGCTCTAACAGTGTCCCATATATACCTTCAAGATGTCATCAGCTGAAGATTAACACACAGCTAAAGATTCTTTCAAAGAAAGTCACCTAAATCTTAACCAAAACTTGTTGTGTTGCTGGTTTTTTTTGTTTGTTTTTTTGTCCCAACTTCACTCTTTCTCCAAAATTAATAAACTTAGACTCACTCTTTGTGTAGTTTAGTGCTAACTTTTTACTGTCCTGTTTAATATTTGTGCTGATTTAATTAAAAAGGCAAAGCTACAACAGACAAAATTATATCTCACTGGGGCGATTCTTAAACTGTGAGCATGTGGAAATTTGATTATGATTTGCAGTTTTTGTTATGAATTTGCCTTGCCACTTTAAAGCAGTGCCCATGGTTTAAATGTTCATTTGAGGATATTCTCATTTAGCTCTTTGTTCCCTTTATGTGTTATCTCTCCAGGTCTGGCCCCAGCTTTTGTGCCCAATCCTTACATTATCAGTGCTGCTCCACCAGGGACGGACCCTTACGCAGCAGGACTCGCAGCAGCCGCTACACTCGGTGAGACGCGAATGTTTAAAACCAGAGTGAAGAGGCACATAAGTGGTACAAGTTTAATTTCCCTCTGGTAGTTACGTTCATAAATGTCTGTTTACATCCAGGCCCTGCGGTAATGCCTCCTCAGTACTATGGTGTGACCCCCTGGGGGGTCTACCCAGCCAACCTTTTCCAGCAGCAGGCGGCTGCAGCCAACAGTTCAGCCAATCAGCAAGCAGCAGGACAGGGCCAGCAGAACCAGCAGCAGGTTTGTCCACACGTTGAGATTCTGAAAGATTTGGAGCGCTTGTGTCAGGTCAGAATATACAGTAGGTTCAGTTTTTGCTTCTTTGCCTTAAAACTTTATTTTATCTTTACAAATTAAAGGTTCTTCCACAGTCTGTTCCTGCTGTGTTGTGTGCCTAACACATACATGAGCAATGTTCTCAGTATGTACCACCATAGTTTTCAGTCTGTGGACAAATTTTAACACGTTCTCAAACCTAAAGCTCGTACATTACACCAACTGTTCCACATCTTTTATAATTTGAGAGCTTTTTAAATATTTGGAGCCCAATTTACTTTTTTATTGTCGCAATTAAAATGATTCCTTCTTTACTTTTGTAAAGGTGATGCGTGCTGGAGGAAACCAGCGTCCTTTGACCCCCAGCCAAGGTCAGCAGGGTCAGCAGAATGACCAGCTGGTTGCAGCGGCAGCAGTAAACTCAGCCCTTGCCTTTGGCCAAGGGTTAGCAGCGGGCGTTCCTGGTGAGCACAAGACTCTGTCTGGAAACAGTCTCAGCAGATGCATTTGATTTTACAGAACTGCTCAAATGAAGCGACCATCTCCACTTGTGTCTACGTGAATGAACCATTATGAATCTACTTCTGTCTCTTCCTCAGGGTACCCAGTCTTAGCACCTGCAGCCTATTATGATCCCACAGGGGCCTTGGTGGTCAACACAGGAGCCAGGAGTGGTCCTGTTCGCCTTATGGCCCCTGCCTCTGTCATCATGTCTCCTTCTGCAGCACAAGCAGGTAAAACAATGATGGACCTTAAACACTAGTCAAGAAATTCAGCTTTATGAACACAAAACAACAGATTAAACATTAAAACGTGTTCTGAATGTTCCACTCAGGAGAAGCTGCACATCAGTTTTAAAGCCCCAGCATACAGTTCTTAGATATATTGCTGTACTGATTATTTCCTGCACCACTGTCCCTGTCCTCATCCAGTTGCAGCAGCAGCAGCCTCTGCAGGTGGTGCCAACGGTGGTTTGGGCGGTGGAGCCAACGGTCCATTCCGTGCCATGACGTCCCAGCAGCCTCAGCAGCAGGGTGGCCCTGGCGGTGCTCTTGGAGGAAGCTCTTTCTATGGATCCTCGTCCCTGAGCTCATCCTCCCAGAGCTCCTCTCTTTTCTCACAAGGCTCTGCTCAGCCTGGACCCGGGTCTGCCTCTCTGGGCTTCAGCCAACCTGCTTCCTCCTCCCTTGGTGCCACTCTCGGAGCCACACTAGGAGGCTTTGGCACCGCAGGTGAGAACGCATCATTCTCATGGCCTAACTCCAAGTTGAACACAAGTACAAATATAGTTTTGAACAGGTCAAAAGGAACAAAAAAGCAGTTGATTTGTGTTTCACTTCCTCTGAGACCATTGTCTTTGTCTCCCTCTAGTGGCCAACTCAAGTGGTGGCAGCGGTTCCAGGCGGGACTCCCTGACAGGCAACAGTGAGCTGTACAAGCGCACACCCTCCAGTCTCACTCCCATTGGTCACGGCGGGTTCTATAATGGCACCCTGGGCTTCAGTCCATCACCGGGCCCTGTGGGTATGCCCCTACCCAACCAGGGGCCATCCCATTCCCTCACACCACCACCGTCCCTGTCCAACCACAGCTCCTCGTCCAACCTCAATCTTGGTAAATTTGATTTTTAGAGACTGACTAATCCAGTCTTTAGTTTTTTATCTATTCCTCATCAGTGAAACGTGTTTTGATAAATTGATATTACACTGTATATGCCCGATACGTGTCAGGTATCCCAATATTTTAATGTTTTCATTCATTCTGTAGTGAATGTCTAGTACTGAAGCATTTAGAATCAAATACTTTTACAGTAGCATGTTGGAGGAAGTAGTTACTGTCAGGGACTAGTGTTGAGTCTATTGTATTATTGTTGGCTGAGAAAAGTATAATTCAGTTGATTACCCTTTAATGAATTGACAGATAAACTGACCTTATTGTGTCCTAATAATTTAATAATTTTAAAATATTAAAACAGCTGTAAAGGTGATATTATGAAGGCTTCATTATTTAAATTTTATTATGGACTTATTCATGTGGTCCATTTTAATTTCATTCATTTCCAAACAACCAAACTAATACGTGTGGAACAGATGTTTGAGAAAGTTCACGTATAATGATGCTTATATACACACACAAGCTGGACTTAGTGTTGTCAGTGTATTTAATGTTATGTTACATGATTTTGAATTGATTTTCTAGTTTGGTTCTGATTTTCTTCTGTCTGACCCACAGGAGGTCTAACCAATGGCAGTGGCCGTTTCATCTCCGCAGCTCCCGGAGCCGAGGCCAAGTACCGGAGCGCAGTAGGCTCAGGCTCTTCCCTCTTCTCACACAGCAGCCAGCTGTTCCCGTCGTCACGGCTACGCTACGGCATGTCGGACGTGATGCCTTCGGGTCGGAGCCGCCTGCTTGAGGACTTCAGGAACAACCGCTACCCCAATCTGCAGCTCCGAGACATCGCTGGTCACATCATGGAGTTCAGTCAGGACCAGCACGGCAGCAGGTGCACAAGTGCAAATTGCTTTAGCCTAAGAATTACCAGCACCCTTACAAATTTATTTAATAACCGAGAGGAAACATTTAACAATTACCTGCTGTAACTACACCCAAATCCTTGAGAAAAACTGGACATCATGCAGTACAAGATAAGTCTTTGAGCTATAGAGGTGTTTGGACGTCTCAAATGGAGCCTCTTTTTTTTCAGCTATTTTTAAGAAAAGGTCATCACTGAACTGTGAAGCTGGATACCATAATGATAAAAAAAACATTTCCATGGGAGCAAACAAGTCACAAACTCTAGTGATGATTAGAGATGTTTAAAAGCAGGTAGTTTGGAGCCTTGATGGGTTGCAGATAAAAGTTGGTTATTTTGTCTTCAGCTAATGCCAGCAGGCTGAGTCTGTTAATGTTTGCTGGTGAAAGGTCCCGTTTGTTGACTTTACGATACATTAGTGTAAATATTTCAGCCTAGTTCTCAGTCTGTGACGTCGTATCGCTGGATAAACATGTCTCAGGCGTGCAGATGGGTTTAGGCTTCATGATATTTTTAGTCTGCATGTTGTAAGTGCTTTCATGAACAACAGAGTTATCTGTGATGCAGTTAATAGAAGAGTGTTAATTTGGCAGTGTGAGACCCTGGAGACCGCTCAGGGAACCTGGTTTCAGGATCCGTTAAGTCTGGAACCAGCTGATGTAGAGTTTTACCCTGAAGTGAGGTATTTACGTACCAAGAGGTCCAGTCTGCACATTACAGATATTTTCTTTGCCCTGACTCTTCTGGATCACGGCCTTTTTTTATCATTAGCCTGGCATCCATCATTTCACCACCCAGGCTGCTTTGGCTCCTTCGTCTACCTCTTTGAGCTTTCTCCACTTTGAAATTCATCTCATTTTGCCTCTCCGCTCCCTCAGGTTAAACACAGGGAAGTTTCAGTCTTGCGTTATTGCTGCGCGTGTTTATTCGTTTTCAGAGTCCTGCAGACTTTTTAATCCCCTCCATGTACCGAGTGGATTTAAGGAGATCTGTCTGAATACTTCCTCATCGCAAAAGAAAATGAAATCTTGACGACGACGAGCAGTACATATATGAATAATTCTTAATCTGTTTGGCTTTTTTAGGTTCATCCAGTTGAAATTGGAGCGAGCGAGTTCAGCAGAGCGCCAGCTCGTCTTCAGTGAGATCCTGCAGGCAGCCTATCAGCTCATGGTGGATGTTTTTGGCAACTACGTCATCCAGAAGTTCTTCGAGGTATGAGAAGTTTGGGCTGTGTGCCAAGATTAAAGTCTTTTGACCTTTCAAGATACACATGTTCTTTTTGTTGTGCATGTATAATATTATTGGATGTAACAGAGACTTGTGTGGTTTGTTTTTAGTTTGGCAGCTTGGACCAGAAGCTGGCTCTGGCTGAAAGAATCCGGGGTCACGTGCTGTCGCTGGCCCTGCAGATGTACGGCTGCAGGGTCATTCAGAAAGCTCTGGAGTTCATCCCCGCAGATCAGCAGGTCATTGTAAGTACACTCGTGCCCGTTTGACTGTGGAAGCATGTAAACATCAGTAGCAGACTGCACCTTTGCCCTCAAGATTTTTGTTCTTAATAAAAAAAGGAAAGCGGTTTAATGCCTCAATTTTAAACCGTATTTTTCATCTAAGCATCAAAATTTCTGCATCGGTTCATTTACACGTCTTCAATATTCAGTTTATATTGGCGCTGCTTGTGTAGCAGCAGTTTCCTTACGTTAATCCTGTCCTCAGCGATAAATGAGGCTGATGAAATCATAGTTTATATGCAAATGTTGAACTGTGTTATAGTGAGGTAAAATGATGAATATCAACAGGAAATATGCTTGCATACATTTAATGTTTTAGAAAAGCCTGTTTTGCCTCCCTGTGTGTGTTTGTATGTGTGCAAGTGTGAAAAAAGTAATAGTTATCCATCTTTCCTTAATGGACTCCAATAGATTTCCCAAAAGGGCATCTGTTAAAAGTCCAGCGTTATTTGTTGGGCAGTGAGTCACAGCGTTTGCAACAAGCCTTCGGGCAATATTTGATTCCTCACAATTACCCACCGTCCCTCCGCTCCCTCCCCCTGCAGAGCGACATGGTGCGGGAGCTGGATGGCCATGTGCTGAAGTGCGTGAAGGACCAGAACGGTAACCACGTGGTGCAGAAGTGTATCGAATGTGTCCAACCTCACGCGCTGCACTTCATCATCGAAGCCTTTAAGGGACAGGTGGGTTCTTTCTGCTCTCTAACTCAAAGTATTTCTTCATTCAATCACTGATGTCTGCCGGTGCTCGGCTGACACACACACACACACACACTGTCGTCGCCTGAAGGCAGCGAGCTTATTGTCACAGAGTACACAGACTCAAGTCTTTTGCAGGGACAGGTTGTGTTGCCTTGGCAACAAGAACCTCATCCCAGTTTCTACTGAAAAACTAAACGGAAGAAGAAAAACTGTTGAAGTAAAGATTTTCTGCATTCATTCAACGCTGTTGAAGACGCCACTCGATAAATCTGTGTTTTGCTTCTCATATGTTTGTGTTTCCTTTAACTCCATATTTCCTACTAGCTGGCAGCAGATGAGAAATGTGCCCTTGCCTTCTCTGCAGGGGTGGGTTGAGTTGGTGGAAGCATTCCTCAGATAATTTGGCGCAGCAGCTCGAGACAGTGTCTGGAAAAGCACATTTGTGTCGTGTTCACTCGCCTTGGCTTTGTGCACGTTTTTATCAGGAACGACTAACGGTGATTAATTGTGTCTCAGGTGTTTGCCCTCTCCACTCACCCGTACGGCTGCCGAGTCATCCAGCGCATCCTCGAACACTGCCTTCCTGAACAGACGCTGCCTATTCTGGAGGAGCTGCATCAACACACGGAGCAGCTAGTGCAGGTAACGCAAACACTCAGACGAGCACGAGCGAAATGACGACTCGAGTTTGGCTCCAGTCGGCTCCTCTCTGAGCCTCCAGGTTTTGAAGCTTTGGCAGCGTTCGACGTGACGTCAGAGGCACCAGCTGTCCTCCTCACGCTGTTGTTGTTCACACGTTTCTGTGGTTTGTGTGATTTAGGACCAGTATGGAAACTACGTGATCCAGCACGTTTTGGAGCACGGTCGAGCCGAGGATAAGAGTAAAATTGTGTCTGAAATAAGAGGCAACGTCCTGGGACTCAGCCAGCACAAGTTTGCCAGGTGAATTCCTCCGCAGACATCCTGACACGCTCTCTGACATCACCTCTGACATCACCTCTGACAATTATGTTTTAGTTTGTTTTTAATTTCTTCCTAGTTGCTGCATTAACAGGAAGTTAGATTTTTTTTTGTTTCTTTTCTTTACACCAGGATGTTTTGCTACTTGCAGTAGTCCCTCGTTTATTGTGGGGGTTAATTGCGGGGGTTACGTTCCGGACCCCCCCACCCCCCAGACGCACACACACCCCCAACACACACACATTTTAAAGCTTTAGAAATCCTTCCCACACTCTTGCAATGTTCTAAACTCAAACCTACTTCATTTTAACAACATAAAGTACTGTATATGTAGCTACTAAATTTTACTCACCAGTTCTGTAGAACAGCAGCGGCTCGGTTCCGCTCCGACTTGGTTCCATTTCGGCAGACCTACCCTGCCAGTTCTGGTTGGCTCTCTGGCTCGGAGTAGTGGCGGTGGGCTCCGGAGGGAGCGCCGGACCTACGGGCAGTGCGTCCCTACCCGGGGATCCTTGTGGGTCAGCTAGCAGCTCTCGAATTTGCCAATGGGTCTAGAGATCTGGTTCTGGTTTGGTTCTGATCCGGTTCCCGGTGGGTTCCGTGTGGCTTTCTTCATCCGCTGCGTTGAAGTCACCGTAATAAGGACCAAATGTTTTCCGATCAAAAACATTCCCTCTTAGTATTTCAGCAGAAGGAAAAGGGGCTTCTGGGAAATGTAGTCGTTATGAGTGGGGATACAGTGTAGGCTTATTGAGAGAAAACTACAAAATGGAAGCGACTGTCCGAAGTATTTTATTTTTTTAGCTTTTTACTGTATAGTATTCCATACTGTCCCAATCGTGTGAGTAATATTAAAGTTGACAATCATGTCGTGTACTTTTTTCGTGTACAATTTTTCTTTGAAAAACCGCAAAAGAGCAAATCCACTAAGGTCGAACTGCGAAGTAGCGAGGGACTACTGTAAACATTTTTGTCCAAGTGAAATGACTCCTTTTACAAACGCATGACGCTCCCACAAATTGCACATTAATCTTTTAGGACGTGATTTTCTCTTCTGCGTGAACGTGGCTCTGCTCATTTATTGTTTTTTGTTGGAATAACTTAGCAAAAAATATGCTCCGCCCCCACACAAGTCTGATCAATTTGATAAGAAACTTGTTGATATTCACCGGTGCTGATGATCATGCAGCTCTTCCTTAACGTCGCCCCGTGTGTCTTTTCTTCCAGCAACGTGGTAGAAAAGTGCGTGACCCACGCGTCCCGGGCAGAACGGGCTCTGCTGATAGATGAAGTGTGCAGCCTGACCGAGGGCCCCCACAGTGCCTTATACACCATGATGAAGGACCAGTACGCCAACTACGTGGTGCAGAAGATGATCGACGTGGCCGAGCCCACGCAGCGCAAAATCGTAATGCATAAGGTTGGTGGAGGGTCGAGGGTTCCTGTGGAGAAACGAATACCTTAGAGAGTCACTGCTTTTCTCTAAAATGTTGTTTGCACGTTGGTTCTGTGTGTGAATAAGTTGATTGTTATTATTATTATTAAGAATCAATTTAACACCAGCTTTGTTTACCCAGAAGTACAACACGTTCAGGTATTTTATTTTATACCTAAATGTGGATTGTACAAAATAATTACATTGTCTGGAAGCAAATGAAGCATTTTACAACGTTTCACAGGATGATGAATAAAAACATTTAAAGAGGTAATGATGTAGATAATTTAGAATTATCCAAAAACAAAACAAAAAAAGTCAGAATTAAAACAAAGCCTCGAAATTTCTTGAAGGGTTTACCATCATTTGTAAAAAAAAAACCAAAAAAACTGTAGTTTTTATTTATATTGTTTTTAGCTTTTTTATAACTGTTTATTGTTGTTGCTGTTGTCCATTGTTGTCATCTTTTTGTTGAAATCAGGTCTCTCTTGTAAATGAGTCCTCGAGGCTCAATGGGATTTACCTGTATAAATAAAGGTTGATTGATTGATTGGTTGATCACCCTCTGCCGTTTGTGCTGACGTGTTTAAAGTTTTCTTTAAAAAAAAAAAAATGTTACGCTTGATCTCGTGCAGTCTGTTAATGCTCAGAGTGTGTTGTGAATGACTCTCAGCTACTACCACATCACCTTTTAGCTCATTATCTGTAGAATTGACTGAATTGCAGCATATTATGGGTTTTGTAAGTTCAGTTGTGATGGCCGTCCTAAATGGGGTCGACTTCAAAAGCTGATCATCTGTATGTGCACATCCTGTGATTACATTCTGCTTCGTTAGATATTTTGTTAACAGACGTGAACAAACGCACTATCGAAAGGCGGGCAATAATAAAAAAGATCTCCCATCAGGTTGTTTGTCACGGACCAGTTTTCAGAAACGTGACCTAAAAGTAAGAGGACGAGCGAAGGTACCAGTGTGCCATAACTCAACCTTTACACGCATCGACGTGGCCGTCGGTGTCGCCGGTTTCCTTGGAAACGGCTCCAAGGTTGACCAAATATATTACACTTCACTGCTGCTAAAAGGAAAAACAAAAGTTTTTAAAGACAGCCTCAAATGATCATCACTGCGTTCATCCTGTTACAGGCTCCGACTAACGTTTGTGTTTTTTGTTGACGTGTTTGTGTTTTTGTTGACGTGTTTGTGTTTTTGTTGACGTGTTTGTGTTTTTGTTGACGTGTTGTTTTTTTCTGCCCGCACAGATCCGGCCCCACATTCAGACTCTGAGGAAGTACACGTACGGGAAACACATCCTCGCCAAGCTGGAGAAGTACTACATGAAGAACGGCGTGGATCTGGGTCCTCTCTGCGGCCCTCCTAACGGCATCATGTAACCCCGCCCTCTGAAATCATGTCCACCACCTGCCCCGCCCCTCCCCCACCCCTCAGCTCACCTTCCTTCTGCTGTATTGTCTCGCAGCTCCACCCTGCCGTCTTTCAGGCTCACATCCTGACACCCCCCACATCTAAATCCTTCCCACCGAAGATGCAGAGTATCCCTCGCACCACTGTTTCCATGACAACCCTTCCGAAGGAGCCCCGTTCCTACAGGCAGCCTTAGATTTTTGTCTCGTTTTGTCAGCCCCCACCCGAGTTTAGGCCTGCTGAACTGGGGCAAGCAGGGCAAGAGGAGGGGGGCAGAGCGAGTGCTGAAACCTGATCACTCACCGTTTGTCTATTTTTGTTTTTTTTTACCGTTTCACATCCTCTTTTCGGCTAAACTGAAAAAAATAAATCACCTTTTGCTACAGCTGTGCACACAATCTACCCCCCCCCCCCCCACACACACACACCTTCAGCTGAGATATTTACCACTATGAGATAAAGTATTTAATTTGTCACAGAATCATAGACGAACACACGCCATCAGCTTAACCAGCAGACAGATCATTTAGCATGGGAGATTCGTTTTCTGGTCTTGCTTCTATAAATATAACGTGTATACTTGATGTAGACCTTTGCATATATATATAAATATATATATATATATAAAACTTTGTAGTTTTTCTGGTTTTTGATGTTGAATCTGTATCTAATGTATCCTAGTAGTGACCACATACTTCTGACTGTATAATTGTACATTTGTAAACCCTTGTAATGTAAAAGTGCTTTACCACCCTTTTTGGTATGAGGAGAAAAAAAAAAAACGACAAAAAAAAGATGATTATAGAAAAAAGAAGTGCATTTCAGTGTATATTCTCACCTCATTGGTTGTGACATATGAGTTGTTGTATATTGTAAATTGTAATATCAAACTTTTTTTTGTTTTGAGAAGCCCTTTCTACTCAGCGTAGTACCTGTACAAAGATTTGCCACGCTCGGTTTTATCTCGATCCCGTCGCCGCTTAACTTAAAAGATCTCCCACTGAACCCCCGTTCTGTTAGAATCTGGTGATTTCTGGTTCTTTTCCTTTTATCTTTAAGATCTTTTTTTATAGGAATGCTTTACCCCATAAAATGTTTGCATATTATGGGTTTGCTGGCTGGGTGGGAGAAATAACTTGACTCCTCACTCGCCTCCAAACCCTTTAATTACCCACGACTGTTTTCAGGGGTAAATCTCTGGATTGTACAGAGGAGATTTGTTTTCTCATTCTCTCTCGTGCTGTAAGTGCTGTATCATACATGTGTTTTTGGGTGAGAGGCAGCCCGCCACGGCGCGGTGTACATTTGGAGCAGCCTTGTGTATATTTACTACGAGCACACCTGTAACCATATGTGTATAGTTAACAGAACCTGTGTATGCTTATGCCTGGGCAACTATTTTTTGTAACTCCTGTTGTAGATTGTCTCTAAACAATTGTGTGATCTTTATTTTGAAACCAAACTGAACAAAAAGAAAAAAAAAACTTTGAAAATTTCACCGTGTCCAGCGTGTTTTATTGCTTGTTTTTTTTTTTTTTTCTCCTGGAAAATGTTTCAGTTTTGAAAGTTTTCCACACTTGTACTAAAGTATTGATTCCGTCTTCATTTGATAATAAAACCAAATCAGGTCCTCTGGACAGATTCTTTGTTGAAACATTTTGTCTTTTATCCAAAAGAGTTTTGCAGTCTGAGTATGGAAGAGGATTAGGGCCGTGGTCCAATTTTTTTCCCCTTAATTCTGAGATAAAAGCAAATTTTGAGATTAAAGTCATTACTTTTGAATTCTGAGGAAAAAAAAGTCAGAATTGGATGGATTCTGACTGTAATCTCAGAATGTTGACTTTATTCTCAGAATTCTGAGAGTCAGAATTTTGAGATTGTTCAGAATCCATCTATCTGACTAATCTCAAAATTCTGACTTTAATTTCATAATTCTATTTCTCAGAATTTTGATTAAATCTCAATTCTGACTTTTTATTCCGATAAAAAGTCAGAATTGAGATTTAATCAGAATTCTGAGATTATTCAGAATCCATCTATGCCTAATCTCAGAATTCTGACTTTAATCTCAGAATTCTGACTAATCTCAGAATTCTGTTTTTTTCTTCTTAGAATTAAGGAGGAAAAATTGCACTGCGGTCCTTCCATACCTGAGGACTGAATCTGAGTCACTCAGATTGAAGTCTTTTGGATTCAAGATGAAACGTTTCAACCAAGAAGAATCCCTCTAAGACCTGACTTAATCTTGTTAGATTCATCTACCTCCTGGATTATAGAACATGCATCAGGATATTTATTTATTTCTGTTTTGCTTACAAGGAGCCGGACTTAGTTTTATTTAGATTTTTTTAAGCGGTCTTCATCAGTATTCAGGGTGCCTACATTTTTGGGAAAATATGGATTTTTATTAATTTTTTTGCTACAACCCAGTGTTTAAACGTCTGACCGTTCTTTTCAGATTTATTTCTTGTAAAATATGTGCCGAGTATAGTCCAAAAGTTTAAAACCACCCCTAACTATTTGCTTCCAAAATCAGACTGTGTGGGTAAAAATAAGAACAAGGAATACAACAAATCCAAATATTTGCACAATATTTTAGTTTATAAGATTTCTTTACAAAAAGCTGAAATATACAGCTTTTCACTTCGAGGTCCACGCCATTTAGCTGATGCCAACTTTTAGAAATCAGGGCAGCCAATGACGGAGTTACAGCACAAATTGTTTTTATTCTAAAAACTGCTAAACGTGTATTTTATAAAAGAGTATTCCTGTTAAAAAATAAACTTCATTGTGGGTTAATTGGTTGATGACGTGCTCTTCGAATGTTAAAAATGGCAAAACAAGTCTGAAAATTTCAGAAAGTTAACAGCTGGACCTGTTGGAACCCTGAACATTCCTTCAGACTTTCTGAATTTTTTTAAAACTTTTTCTTTTTTACTTCAAGACCTGATTATTATTTTTTTTTTTTTGTTGTTGGTTAAACTACTAGACTCAGTCCTGAAAATCATTTTAAGAATTAAAAAGTCTCCTAAACTCTGTTAATGAACAAACGCTGAAACAATTTCAAACTGATTTTTAAGCACTTTATTCACAGCTCGCAACAAAGACGTAATTTGCTCCATTTCCTTTAGATTTTATTATTTTTTTAAATAATATAAACTGACAGAGAAAACAGGATGATTGTCAAAGATCTGTTCCCTGAAAACTGAAGGAGGGTGCAGCTGCAGGTCCACGGTTCAGGCCTTTACAGAACATCCTTTTTTAAAAAATAATACACGACTTTCAAGATCGTGGATATTTGTTTTTAACACTTTTTACAATATTCCTTGTCAGACACAGACTAGAAAATGAAGCCAAGGTCTAAACTTGTAAATACTTTCCGAGAGTCAGGAGAACTATCAGAAACTGATTAATGAGGCTCGTGCTTTAACTTTGGCCTTTTCCTGACGAGCAGAGGGCCTGAGTGGTATTGAGCGTTTCCACAAAACAAATCATCTCGCTCGCCTGCGTCTCTTGTTTTGACTCGGCTGCAGATTACCCAGATAAATTTACAATCAGGACAGAGCTGATCGATCACCTTGTCTTGTGTTTCACACGCACGGGTCAGAGGTCATCCGCCTGAGCACATCGAGCCTCGGGTGTTTTGATTTAAAGCAGAATCAGACTTTACAAACCTGTTCTTACCTGTCCAGCTGTTTTAGGAACAGCTGGATGGAAACTTTAATTTGAAAGGAAAATAATCGGGACGTCCTGCTGTGTTTAAAAGCGTTTGAATCTTTTACTCTGCTGTTAATTGTGGTTGTGACGTCTTTTATGCTCCATTCTTCTAAATTCTCCACTTTTTATTTGATACTTAAATTTGGGTGAAATTAGGGGGAGTTTTTGTCTCACGGCTCACGAGTTTCAGTCAGGCTTTAATGATTGGTTGCAGTTGTTTTGAACAGCTCTAATAGTTCTCACAGTTTTCTGATTGTTCTTACAAACTCAACGGACTCGTGCACAGAATAAATAAAATCCAAAGCAAGAACATTCATAATTATGAGCTTTTATGGACAAAGCAGACGAGGAATGAATGAAAATACAGATTTCCTCACTGAAGCGGTTGTTTCTTAGCTCTGTTTTGATTCTTTAAAGTGGGATTACGTGGAAAGGCGAACAGTTAATAATTTATCTGTTGTGGATAGCTCTGAAAGGATTGGGTTCAAAATAAATAGAGTTTGGTTTGGACCGGACTGATGAGCTAACGGCTCGTCCAAGCAGGACCAGGACCAAAATGAATCGATTGTTGGTGAATTTGCACATGCCGCCATGAAATATTTCAGATTGGAGTTGCGTTCAGACAACAGTGATGCCCTTTGGTCTTGACCTCATGATGACCACTCATCTGGTCAGGATTAAACTCCCATTACACCAAACTGGTTGTTCAAAGGCCAACACTCCAAAAATATAGTGTTTGTGTTACTTTTCTTTAGCCTGCACTCTTAATATATATATAGTATGTATATCTAATCTATAGTATAGATCCAGCACCACTTTTTTTATAGTTTTTGCACATTTTAAAGCCACTTTGCGTGACAGTTTTGAGCCTACAAACGTTAAATATATGGTTTGTGTAACATTTTCACAGCCCACAAACTGTCCCAAGGAGGAATATGAGTGAGAAATATGAAATACTCTGGATAAAATTAATATTCTGGATCTGAAACGGTCATGCTCAAGTTGCTTTGAGGCTCCCGAGCCTAACTATTATATGACGCAGCGGCTTGCCATAAAAATGTGTGTTATGCTGCTTCTGATCCACAGACATGAATTAAATCACTGTGATAAATAACGTTTAACATGTGGCGTGTGAGCTGTGCGTCTCTAAACCAGCTGCAGGGGGCATCATCGCCCTTACCCGGGGAACACACACACATACACGCACGCACGCGCGCGCTCACCCCCCTCCTCCTGCCACACTCGGAGGCCGGGCAGCGACGCCATACGGAACATCCTGCACGGAGTCGAGGGGGGAGGAGAGAGAGAGAGAGAGAGAGAGGCTGCGCGAGCTGAGACACGCGCACACACGGAGAGACGGAGCTCGTGCTTCTCTCAGCTCACGGTTCTCACGGTCACCGAGCCAGAGAAACTCCGGAGCGGACCCCAGGTGACCGGGACCAGCTGCCTCCACTCCCTGGATTAAAAGACCAGGAGCACCGATGGTCGCGCGGACGGGCGGCGCGCTTTGAAGTTGGGACCCGCTACAGAGAGAGACCCCGGGAGCTAACAGCCCGTCCACCTCCTCCCTCCCCCCTGAAGGCGGCGGCACCGGGAGGCTCAGCCCGCGGACCCCCACCATGAAGCTGCGCGTGCTGCTGGCGCTCGCGGCGCTGCTCGCTCGCGGCACCACGGTAAGCTCGCGAGCGTCGGGGCTCTCTTTGTTACACCCGCGGGTCTCGTGCGCTCGGGAGTCAGCGTATGCGCGTGTAACGAGACGGCGGTGATCGGTAGGAAATCCTGCACGCGACCTACATATGAGCGTCAAATGAGGGAGGGGGTGCTGGCGGCTCCCCAACCCCCCACTTAACACACACCGCAGCCTTTGTGTCTCAGTGTCGGGGCTCGTGGAGCTCCCTCCACTCAGGAGGTGTGCGCGCGTGCACGTGCGCGCTAGTAATTAGCGGGTTATCTCTAATTGGGGCTGATTACTGGTGTTGGATGTTGTGTGGTGTCTGCGGGGGGAGGGAGGGGGTCGAGCCATACTGCGGCTCCCACCACTTTATTCACTGGTGTGTGTGTCCATGCGTGCGTGCGTGCGTGCGTGCGTGAAGGATGGTTGAGATGACCAACCTGTATCCGGATGTCTGAACTGTAGTAACTGGAGGTGTGTGCGTTTATTTGAGGCTAAAAGTGGGTGGGGTGTGGGGGGCTAGTTAACTGCGATGCGGTGCGCGGACGGTGCTCGGATGGAATGATGTCATCGGGAACCGCGAGCACCTCCAGCACCTCCTCCTTCTCCCCTCCGGAACCATCCGCGCAGAGCCTCACACACGCACACCCCTCCCCAAAAGCATGCCCACACCTTCCGTCACCCATAATCCAGATTTATCCTCTGAGCAGGAGGAGGTGGGGGCAGAGGAGGGCGCGAGCTCGCTGAATCATTGAGAGAAAAGCAAACAGGAACTAAAAATAATCGACGTGCAGATCCACCAAGAACACTCCCGGAGCTTGTAGTGGTGTGTGTTTTTATGGCTCACCAGAGGATGTGTTGTTTTAGGATGCTGAACTTCATTCAGGTCTGCAGCACTCGTTAGGAGGCCCCTGGGGGCCCCTGCTGCCCCCACATGCACTCACAGGCTGATGGAGTCAAAGAGCTGAAGGGGGCTACAGCCCTGAAGTCTGACATCAGTTTTGTGATAATTTAATGAATAAAAATGTCTATTTTGATGTATGAACTGCTGAAGCTGCTGCATCATTATGGTCACCATGGTAACCACACACCTGTCTGTCACTCCCTGACAGTGAACTTGCAGAGGCAGACGGAAACCAGCTGAAAACTAGAATAATGGCATTTTCTGTTAAAATTGCAGCTTGATTGTCGTTAAATGCTGAACGACTGCGGAAACTTGAAGAAGCACACCTCGAGCTAAAAGTTCAAAGGAGCTAAATAGCTAAATAAAGTGTCAAACACTAGCAAAAAGCTAAACAAAATAAAAATTCAAAAGTACCAAAACTCCGGATAAAAGCTAAAAATAGCCATATCCTAGCTACAAGTAAAAATGGTGGAGTCTAAAAGTAGGAAAAGGCTAACTAAAGGTAGCAAAACTGTTGCTAAAATTAACACAGTTCGAGCTAAAGACTCGCAAAACGCTAAAACAACAAAGTGCTAGCTAAAAGCTGAAAGGACAAAAACCATGGATAAATGTTTAAAATAGCCAAACTCCAGGTGAAAGTAAAACGGTAGCTAAAAGTAACGCATTTTAGCTAAAATGAGCCGAAGGCTTGCAAAAATAGCCAAACAGCATTTAAATAGAAAAATTATAGTAGCCAAAACAACAAAATGGTAGCTAATGCTAAGTGCTGCACAAGGCTAGCTAAAAGAAGTGAAAAGATAGCTAAAAACAGCTAAAGGAAGGCTAAAAGCTAAAAACTGCTAAATGTCATCAAAAAGAAAAATGTAGCAACGCCTAGCTAAATGTAAAAAGTAAAACAAGACAAAACCAGGGCAAATACTGAAGCAGATGTTAAAGAGAAACATGTTTTTAAAGGCTTTTAAAATACTTTTATTATATATTTGTGAATAAATTATTAAAATTAAAATTAAGTGTTTTGAATATAAATGTATTTAAGTATAAAAGTTATTAATGCAAAATGTGAGCACCCTTCAAAATAAACTAAAGGTTTTGATATGGTTAAAAAAGCACACAGTTACGGGCATATAGTTGGATTATTTAAAAACATAGAAAACAATGAAACAATTTAACGTCAAACTGTCGCTGTGCAAACACTTTGTGTCTTTACAACTTCTTCCACAGAAAGCAGCAGAGGACTCTGATGGTCACGTGTGTGTTTCATGCTCCCTCCTGGCTTTTTGTAGGAGAAATGACTTTTAAACTCTTCACGTTTTAAAGTGAATATTTTGAACTAACATTTACAGAAACCTCGTTGTGTACTCTTTATATTCAGAAATAAAGATAAAACCTTAAGTCTTGTTATACAGAAATAAAATTAAGGCTGAATATTTTATGTGCTAATATGCTAACGGCCACTTTCCAGAGGTGAATAGTGTTGTTGTTTTTTTAAGCCAGCAGGATAGAGCCGGTAAACCAGTGAGATACAAAACATTTTTTAAAGCAGTGTTTCCCAACTCTGGTCCTTGAGGAACACCATCCTGTGTGTTTTAGTTGTTTCGCCACACCTGATTTGAATCAATGGGTGACTAACAGGCTTCCGTACAACTTGATGGCTTAACTAAATCACTGAATCTGGTGTGTTGGAGCAGGGAAACAATTAAAACATGCAGGATGGTGTTCCTCAAGGATTAGTGTTGGGAACCACTGTTTTAGGGCATCCCCTTTTGGTTTAAAGGTCCTCAAGTTTGGAATATCTTGAATAATAATTACAAAAAAAATGAAACACCTCAATCTGCCTGCGTTTAGCATTCAGACACAAACTTTGGAGTTTCATTTAGTCGTTTCTGCTAAAGCTGCAGTAGTCTACACACACACACACACACACACACACACACACACACACACACACACACACACACACACACACACACACACACACACACACTGATAACTTCTGGGTCAACCGGCTGTAATCTCTGCCAAAGATCCTCAGCCTCCAGCTGATCTAATCTGTCTTGAGGTGTCCAGATGGAGACAGGTGTGACACACGCGCTTGAATATACTGTAGGCGCACAGATAGCTGTAGTTGTTGCTCCAATAGGTGACACACACACACAC